CGCATATAAACCCTTCACGAGACATTTACACATATACACATTTAGATACCTTCTACAGGATGAAACAATTAATAAAGTTCTATAATATATAGTTTGCGGGGAAGTACGGGAGGGACTCAAAATACTAACTTTCCCATTAGGTTACAGCCTCATCTACCTTTACACCAGTCTTCTGTAACCTTGAAAATATTCAAGGTCATTAATATGAGGACACTTGCTAGTTATATATTTCAGCTACCTTCTGGTCAAATATAAGGACCACGGGCCTTATAGAACTGAAGAAAAATGTTTATAAAACGTTTCACCCATTATAGACAATGTTAACCTTCGACCTCGACCAGCGCTCAAACTTGACCTTTGACCTGAACACAATATGTTAGAAAAACAAGTTGCAACGGCACGCTGGTCTACAGAGTATCATTTCTCTAAAACCTCTGGTTGCTTGTCATTTTCAGCATATTTGCCTCATGTGACATTGAACGTAGGTATTTTTTTAAATAACTTTATAGCATTATATCTACATGCAGTTCATGTTCCTTTCATATGATCTGTATCTACCCTTTTCAACATCCGTCGCAGTGTTCATAGGGGCCCGTAAGGGCAGTGAATGTAATTCGAAACTACATGTATATAATCATTTGAGTTATTGATTAATAGAATGATTGCTATAACGCTACCCCCACTGGGCCCCTGACAAGTTATCTATCGGTAATGGTATTGTAAACAATTTCGATGTGGACTTATTTGTTGAAAATTGATTATTAAATATGAATAGATATATATCGTTTCAGGAATTTACGAGTTAGACTAACATGTAATTGTGTAAATATCAAACTGGTACCATAATGCTGTAAACTGTCAGTGTATTTGGTCTGGAGCCGTAACTCCTTGTATATTATACAGCTTTAAATCTTCAAAAATGTTCCCCAAATTAGGGAAACCGAACCGATTAAACTCTTATTAAAACATGTATTGGGTACATTTTTTAAAAGATATATTGTTGGTTAGATTTTTACTCTATATCAAAAAAAAAAAAAAGATACTGATTGCTTTTCGTACGACATAAATAGCAAACAGACACAAGGAACGAAGGGTGTTTTTTTCATGAATGACATTAAAATTTCATTTATATGAAATACTAATAAATTCAAAAAAAAAAAGATAGGAAATTCTAATTCATTAAAAAAACACCTTTGTTCCTTCAAATCAATGTTATGACAATATATATGAGGAAAACCTCTGTTTGAATTGTGTCTATTCCCGGATCTTTCCGTCCATTATAAGTGTCTTTGAAGAAAACTTCATGTCCAATTCTTCTGCTGTCTGCTGTTCCACTTTGGGGGTCTAATTGGCTTCATAAATTTAAGTATCTCACTTATACTTTAGTATTTCCAAATTTCTTTCTCTTATCCGTCTCTTGTGTTTCCTGTTCCAAAGACCAAAGAATTTTAACGGTTTTTCACAGAGCCGTTTTCGTGTCGTTCAAAGAAGTTATCTATTTCTCTTTATCGTCTAGTGCCCAAATTAGTTTGTCAGTTGAATATTGAAATACCTATATAATTCAAAATTGTGGCTATCACTGACGTGTTAACGAGAATTAAGTGTTGTTAATTCTCGTCCTTTTGGGTTCTAAAGACGAAAACACAAAATAGCCCAAAACTTAGGCAACCACCGTATGATTTGGTTCTGTATATAGCGAGTTCGGGCGGTCGGGTGGGGCAGTGGATAACGCACTCGCCTTTCAGCAAGGTGGCCGGGGTTCGATTCCCCGATCCGACATGAAAAGGTATGGGGTCACCTGCCTGGCCACGTGGGTTTTTCTCCGGATACTCTGGTTTCCTCCCACATTAAGACCCCCTTTGCGCTAACATCCGGGCCAACAAGAATGATTAATATATAAGTTGAAATAGCTTGTTTCATAATTGTTGTAAGTGGTGCCCTTATTATGTTTCGAGGATGTATATATATATATATATATATGGTATATGCTAAGTATATGTCGATTCTATATACAACATTTGTGTAATTCATATCCAAATATAACTCACCATTGTCGACGTAATGCTATTAGTCAGAGACTACCATTGTTATATAAATACATCGTGATCCAGATACTCTTAAGTATCAACTTCACCAACGATTTGTCACTAAGTTCAATCCGAGGTTACCGGGCTGTTGACTTTTGTAACATCACAGCCTCCCGTTTAAATGACGTTACGGTGATGTATGGTGTTTTTCTTGATCAGTCCAATTTGGTGCAGTAGATCGCGAGTTCGATGACTGACACATGAGCTGGGCCATACATTAGTCTTCCCTCGTAATTTGTTTTAAAACAATGTAATTGTTGCAATCAGGGGTAGCTTATTAAATCCAGGAATTAATTTTGGGTATTGCCCAAAATTTAAAACTCAGAAAAAGACAGATTTTTGCACTTATATAAGTTCTAATAAATAAGAGTTGTCATGTCGGTTCTACATGTATACTACTTTTTGCCACTAAAAAATGACAATTATATTTGCACTGTCGGGCGGTGATTTTTTTTCTGAAGATGTAATACTAAACTATTTCAAGCACTACCGAGCGTAGAGAGCAAAAATTTGTCGGTCATTATTTCCATTGACAAACAGATCGAGTGAGGCGTAGAATAGTTTTCTGAGTTTGCGGTATCATTCCAGGTTATATTTTAAAACGTATTTATATTTTATGATGGCCGAGCGGAGCGAGCGTTAAAAAATGGTACAAATGTAGATTTTTGGTTTAAATGTTCGTGTCAGGCCCTTAAAATGGTCACTTGTCAAAGTTTATTGGGAGCGGGTTCTATTATAGGTTCAGCTGATAATGCGCGCGAATCTCATGTACATGTACTTTAGGCGAGCATTTTGGCAATTTAATATTAATTTACTTTGTCATAAATATGAATCAATATTTAACTGTTTGTCTTTTATTGTGAACTAGTATGCATACATATGTACAAAGGCAACACCTAATGAAAAGGATGCTTTTATGCTAATATTGGTTATTAATCACCTGATGAAGTGATGCTAAGGAGGTTGCTTCATTGTCTTTGAATTTTTTGAAATTTATATTTTTTAATTGGTATAATTAATCACTCCTGGTGACCATGTGTACTTGAAACCACAGGTGAAAATACAGGTACATGTATTTGAATTAACAACCAGATGGTCAAGTCCTCTCCCAACTGACAAGGTGATCACCACACCGTGACATAAGAACAATAAGATTAGGTAGTTCGGTGAGCCTTGACCACTGACCTGACTGGAGACCTTACCATTGTTAAGAGCATATAAGAAGTGGACTCTTTTTTTTGGGACACCACCTTCGCAAAGACTGTTGGTTCAAGGGAGGCAACTCCTCTATAACCGAACTACTAAATCGCTTCCACAAGCATGAAGTAGAATCCTCGTCTGAATGAGCAACACCAAAAGCAACATCCGCTGGTAATCTGGGTTGACGGCCAAACATCAGGAAATATGGTGAGTATCCGGTTGTATCGTGTCTTGTACAATTGTATGCATGGGTGAAAGGTCCAATAAAAGCTTTCCAATTGCTCTTTTCCTCAGGATCAAGAGTGCGGAGCATATCCATTAAAGTCCTGTTAAATCTCTCGCACATTTCGTTACCTTGAGGATGATATGGAGTCGTTCTCGACTTTTCTATTCCTAATAAAGAACACAGTTCCCTGATCACCTCTCCTTCAAAATTCGCACCTTGATCAGAGTGGATTCGTTTTGGTATACCATAATGTACAAAGAGATTGTTGTCGAGGGCATCTGCAGTAGTATGAGCAGACATATTCCGTGTAGGTACAGCTTGGGCATATCTTGTGAAATGGTCGGTGATGACCAAAAGATACTGAAAATTTACTTTCGATGGTTCTAGGGTGAGGAAATCATTGTACACAAGTTCCATCGGCTGCGAGGTCTCTATGCTGACTAATCGAGCACGTGCCCTGGCCGGTGTCTTTGCTCGAGTACAGCGATCGCACAGCTTGACCCATTCCTCAATGTCCTTGCGCATCCCTGGCCAATAGAATCTGTCTAGTATGCTTGATGTAGTCCGATCACGTCCTGGATGACCAACATCATTGTGCATGGCCTGGAGTACCTTACGCCTCAGCCGTAATGGTAATACAAACTGTGGTCTTTCCTCATTCGTCTTTTAGTATAAAACACCTCTCATTAATGTTAAGTTGTCAAAGTTCTTGGAATACACCTTGAATTCGCTACTCTTTTCCATTGGTCTTAAAGGTCTCTGTTGATTATAGCTTCATCTTCCTGCTGAAGTTTCCTCATCTGAGCAGGTGTATATCCCCCTACATCCCTGTCCTGTGTCCACGCCATCCAGTATGCTGGTAGACAAACACATGGTTTCCAGGTATTGTGATCCCTCAATCATTGCGCTACATACAGAATCCATACATTCTCTGGTGATGTGTTGAATGTCTGTAGTATGATTGACTTCAAGGCCTGGGTATCTGGATAAAGCGTCCGCGTCAAGATTCGACTTTCCAGGTTTATAGCGGATATCAAAATTGAATGCTGTTAACGCAGAGAGCCAACGATGTCCTGTAGCGTCAAGTTTAGCCTTGGAAAGAACATACGTTAATGGGTTATTATCCGTATCCGTATCCATATAAACTGTAAAGCGATTTCCGTACAAGAATCGTGGAACTTGTCTGTGATTGACCATTTCATACTATAAATTATATAAAGAGAAATCAATATAGTGTTAGCACGGACTTAGATAGCATCTAATTCCTTGATCTTAGTCAGTATTTAGGACTGGTTTCCTAATAAAAACGATTCAGTATAATATTGAGATGGGTTAGGCCTATTTGAACATAAAATCATATAAACTTTGCCTACGACATATTTCCAGGCTAATCAGGAAAATGCAGTCGATAAGCAAACTCTATAGCGAACTTACACTCGATAACATTCCATAAAACTCATGTTCGGGAGGGGACACTACTCTAGTATGATTTCCGGCAATAACACAACTTCGCAAATCAGCTGATGGCAAACCACGGTATGGTACAAAATTAACGAGAGTCCGACCTAAGACTTCTAAGCTTCCCATATTCAAGTTTGGGCACTCGACAGGAATCTAAGTGACTGATGTGCTTCATGTTCAGGACTCGTTCTCCATTACTATTACCAAAAATTGTTATTAATATTGTAATATATACTGTTTCAGTGTTCGGGCGGGATGCCTCACCGAAAACACAACAGGCTATTTTTAGATGTGTAGCTAATGAGTGTCTAGTAAAATAAATAATTATAACTGTTTTGACCAATATTATATATATTTAAATATGAAAAAAGCCCACCTAGATTCTACTTTGCTCCAGGACTAGACTAGACGTGTTTGTTTTTAATCATTTTTTTTTCTCTTTTAAAACCAACCAATCTGTTTACTTTATGACGTAATACTTCTTTTCTGTGAATTCCAAGTAATGTTGTTATATCCATGATATGAACTTGTTTCCATAAAGCAAATGGTAGTTGTTGAAAGAAGTCTCTTTCACTTACTATATTGCTGAGTGATACTATGCCTCTTATATCTTTCATCTTATTTTTTTTTTTTATTATCAAAGTACAGTAACTAAAGTCAAATACTAAAAAAAATAAGTAAAATTTTAGAAAAATATGCAATGACAAATGACATTCTACAGATACAAGGCAGTATAGATAAAAAAATTATGAATATATTATAAATGAGGATGATAGAGTGCCAGAATTGTCAACATGGATATCAACTGACATAGACCATCATGGACGTTTTATTTTAGGCCAAACAAAATATTATTTGTAATTCCTCTTTAATAGGATTTACCAGGATAGATGATGGATGCATGCAATTACTTGCCTCTATTTCCACACATATGTCTTACAAATGTGGCAGATATTAATTGTGCATAGGATAATGGTCGCCTTCTAGCTTCGTGCTAGATGGAGTTTCCCTTTGGCTGAGTGGTAGAGTAGAGCGTCCAACTAGGAACCTAGGGATTGTGGGTTCAATCCCCGGTGGAAGCACACTATCCTTACTCCTGTTACAAATGGTGCTGTGACCAGGATTGTGGTGTTCGAGGGCAAACACATTTAAAAAGGGGGGAGAAGTGTGCCATATTTTAATTGTACATAGGAATACAGTTGCCTTCTAGCTTCATGCTAAAGGGAATTTCCCTTTAGCTCAGTGGTAGAGCATCCAATTAGGAATGTAGGGATCGTGGGTAAGATCCCTGGTGGAAGCACACTATTCTTTCTCCTGTTACACATTTTTGAAAATTTAGGGTAGTTATAGATAACATTTTTTTTTTTTAAATGATTTGATGTGATTTATAGGAGAGTGATCTTGACTTTAACAGTGTTCTTTTGAATTTACAAAATTGTCTCAAAATTTTAAGGTAGGCACAAAAAATTAGTGTTGGCAGGACTACCGGAAACACAAAATATTTTATATGTTTGATCTTATGCGCATTTCTCAAGTTCATTAAATGAAGAATTGTGTTCTGAAATTGGGAGCAACATATATACCCAGGTAATTATGGAGTATTATTTTACAAAGTCGCTGTCGTTAGCTGCAAGGGAGTCAGAGATTGTTTCTCTCAGTGTTTCATTTTTCCAGAAACATTTTTGTCACAGACGACAGCTTTAAGTTCATCAGAGTAGAATTTTATCAGGTCACCTGAGCTTTAGCTCAAGTGACCTATTGCTATCCGTCGTTGTCCATCGTCCGTCGTCCGTTAACATTTTACATTTTCAACTTAAGCTGAAATACTGGTAAAGGGATTTCATTAATATTTCATGGGAAGGTTACTGACATCTCCCTGACCAAGTGTTGTTATTTTTCGGGTCGATCAGAAAACCAATATGGTAGCCATGGCCGCCATTTTGAAAAACTATTTCAAACTTAAAGTCAAGTTTTGCGGGGCCGATTGAACTGAAACTTTGTAGGAATGATCGACTCATGGTCCTGACAAAGTGTCGTTATTTTTCGGGTCGATCAGAAATCCAATATGGCCACGACGGCCGCCATTTTGAAACACTATTTCAAACTTAAAGTCAAGTTCTGCTAGGCCGATTGAACTGAAACTTTGTAGGAATGATCGACTCATGGTCCTGACAAAGTTTTGTTATATTTCGGGTCAATCAGAAATACAATTTGGCTGCCATGGCCGCCATTTTGAAAAACTATTTCAAACTTAAAAACAAGTTCTAATAGGCCGATCTAACTGAAAATCGATCTAGGAATGATCAGCTCATGGTCCTGACAAACTTAAGTTAACGTTATACTTAACAATTTTTTACTCAAATTGGTACATATTTCAACAACAAATATAAATACTGTAGGACTCAGGTGACCGTTAAGGCCCATGGGCCTCTTGTTTCAGAGGAAGTTATAATAATTACATATGATATAAATATTTAGACCCAAATATAAGCTTTGACTGCTTTTGCAGTGGTATTTGTTTATCCCAATCACATACAGAAATCTGCACAGAATCACTTTTAATGTATTGCTGGTGTAACGAAACACCATTAAATTTTAGCCATACACATTTTGGAACAAGTTTTATGGAAGATAAATATGAAGTACTGCTAATTGTTTTGCCCAAATTCAATTAATTGATTGCATAGAGAAGCTTCAACTCTGACATTTTACACTATTTCTTTTCGGGTGTTTTAAGATTTTTACCTTCTGGTTTCTCGCCCATGGAAAATTTAGATGTTAGCAAATACATCACTGCTTACAAAGGAACAGACTTGAATTTGTGAAATATTCTTTTGTCATTTCAGGTATAATATTTTTATGAAGTTGAGGTATCTGGAGCAGCTTAACAATAGGGATGGGATACTTTTGTTGACCACCATTGGTGCACACAATCAGCATGGCGTCCCAGAGCTCCGACAGCAATGACAATCTGGACTATCCAGAAGTGGCAATTGACCCAGTGTACGCCACAGTCACTAGTAATGTGTCGTGGTTCAGCACAGACTCACAGGATCCCAGCTGGATTGAAGATCTTGGATTCAGCGGAGGGGTCATCCAGTTTGTGTATGATGAGGCTAGTGGTCAAAAGGTAACTGAAATTTTGAATGGTATTCTTTTAAAGGTTGTGTTAATTAGTTTTTGTTGTTAATTTGTGTGTCAAAGATTTGCCATGACTTGATGATTGCCAGGTCAAAGATTTGCCATGACTTGATAATTGCCAGGCCAAAGATTTTCCATGAGTTATTGACTACCAGGTTAAATATTTTATTTGCCATGCCATGTTGATTGCCAGGTCAAGTACATGTATTTGCTGTGATGTTTTGGCTTCCAGATCAAATATTTGCCATGTTATGTTGACTGCCAGGTCAAATATTTGTTGTGACTTTTTGACTTCCAGATCAAATATGTGTTGTCACTTGTTGACTGCCAGGACAAATATTTGCCATGCCATGTTGACAGCCAGGTCAAGTACATGTATTTGCTGTGACGTTTTGACTTCCAGATCAAATATTTGCCATGTCATGTTGACTGCCAGGTCAAATATTTGTTGTGACTTTTTGACTTCCAGATCAAATATTTGCTGTCACTTGTTGACTGCCAGGACAAATATTTGTCCTGACTTGCTGACTGCCAGGTCAAATATTTGCCAAGCATTGTTGAAGCCAGGTTGAATATTTGCCATGACTTATTGACTGCCAGGCCAAATATTTGCCATGATATGTTGACTAACATGCCAAAGATTTTTTTTACCGTGAATTGATTGGTAATTTGCCATTATTTTCAAATTGCCAGGCCAATGCAGGTCTGTATGTTAGCGTCCCTGAAGCTGCTGACGCTGATGATGTAGCAACATACATGGCCAAAGTATGGAAGAAGAGAACGCCAAATATTATCCTTTCACTCATTACCAGCAATAGGCACTACAAACATTGGAAAGACCAGGATTTGGTCCACGACTTCCAGACGGGCATCATCCAGGTACAACACTAGAACAATTAAGCTCTTTAGTTAGATTGACTTTGTTGAAATGTTCACAAAATAAAATACAAAGATGTAAATGATTTTTTTTTTTTTAATGCCCCACAACATTTTTCATGTAAGATGGCTTTAATTCATTCCTTTACACAAGTTGTTCTTTGGTTTGATATGGTTTATTTCTAAAACTGTGAAATACTCAAATTTTGATAGCATGTTAACTTCAAAGTAAATTATTCAGGAAAGAAGATAAGGAATTCAAATACACATGTATAAGTATTTTGAAAATAGTTCTCGCAATTTTATACTGACGATATCAATGACATTTTCATATATTGTAGCTTTTATTCTATTTTTAGAACAATTGTCGAACATATTATCAGTTTACCCTATAACCATTTCAGACCAATTTTACAATTTTGTTTAACTCGTTCACCCCTGAAATTTCATAATAAACTATTCCAACCTTTAGATTGGAAGAGTCCAAATCTGTCTGCAGGGGTGAATAAGTTAATCCGCACTACTAAATCGTATGTTTGTAGGCTGCCAACACTACAGAGATGTGGATACTTACCAACGGCTTTGATGGTGGGATCACAAAAATATTGGGAGACGCTTTCAAGGAAGAGAACCAGCGACGAAAAATTCAGAGCCTGACCAAAGTGTCAATGAAGTTTGTAGATAATCAAAAGCAAGAGAACCTGCCCAAGTTGACTGTGATAGGTGTAGTGCCAAAGTGTCTGCTGTCTTATAACTCAAAGATTGATTCTGCAGTGAGTACGGCAATTAGCACGAATAAAGCATTAATTATGAGTTACCCTATATGACTAATGAGGCTGCCCCATTGACTTTTATAAATGTAACTAAAATGCTTTCTTTTTAGATTTTTTTTCAATTTTATTTTTTTTTCATAAGTCATCCGCTTGTTTTTGTTTCATCATATCGTAGTTTGACAGCTTCCACACCAAAACAGTTCTGCGTAATTTCGTTACTGGTAATATAACCTATGCAATCTTTCATAAAGATATACTATCCTTAATGGGGAATTAAAAATAAAGTTTGGATAAAGAAACCTTTATGTCTCTGCCCAATGGAAAAATAGTTAAAATATAGGTTAGGTATTATGTTTGGTGAAAATCTCTGAATAACGTTAGGTTCAGGCCACGCCAGCAAGATGTTATTAATGTTATGTTAAGGCAGGGCTGGTGTGTCCTCAGAATTTCTCAGATTATGCTTATTCACGTTCTCTGCACCCCTGGAATATGTCACGAAAAAGTTGAAGGCAGACAATTGGCTGTTTTATTGATTTTTAGTAAAATAAAACCCTGACCAATCACTATAGGCAGATACCTGTCCTTAGAAGGTTACCGAGGAGTTACAACCAACTTCAAAACTGTTCAATTTAACCATTATGTTGCTGAATGATTGCTTTGATATACGTTAATAGTCTACTTGTATTATCCACAAGATAGTGAAAACAAAGTTTTAATTATTTCCTGACATATTCCAAGGAAGCAGTTAAGGTAACAGAGCGTAACCCCTAGAATTTCAAGGATGGAATTGACAAAGTCTTCCAAAATGTTTTATTCAGGCAGGGCCAGTGAACATCCAGAACAAGGGCGAGAAGCCCCTGTCAGACAAACAGGAGCTCAACTCTGACCACACTCACTACATCATGCTGGAGGGCGTCACTGACCTCCGTGAGCTGGAGAACTTCAGAATTAGGTTGGAGGAGCGATTCCTCACACCAGTAGGCCGGCCAAAACGATACAGAAAAATTACCAATCTCAGCGACTCGGTACTGAGTGAGTATGGTGCATTTATGACTATGTCATGATTATCTTATTAATTTTACTGAATTTCAATACCTAAGAGCTTAAAGTTAACATTGTTTTGAGAAGACATACAAAATTTATGAACTGTGGTCTACTTTAAATAGAGATATTTAAAAAAATGTTGTGATTTGGAATTTGAAGTATTTCATATTGTACTGGTAAAATACTTCATTTTTGCGCTTAATTTCATGACTGACAGTCTGCCTTGGTTGACATTAACTTATTTGTAACTTAGCTAAAAAGATTTTATGTGTAAAATATAAACAATTGTAAATAACATGTTTTAAAACAAATTAGCAAAATTGAGTTTTTAAACTCTAAATAAATGAACTGATCTTCAGTACTTGTAACTGAAGTAATCATTACTGCTTGTTCAGACGTTGGCGAGTCTGTACCAGATGACCTCCAGATCATCAGCAGTACTTGTACCCCTATGGTCGGCCTGCTGGTCCAGGGCGGGCCCCTAGAAATGGACCACGTGGCTGAACTACTCAAGAGAAATGTACCTGTCGTGGTCATGAAGGGCACAGGACTCGCAGCCGACCTCATTTCCTTTGCTTACCTTGAACTTCAGGAAAGGTAATACCGCCTGTTATTTCACCTGTCTTTGGGGTGCCATATGAATATGTATTATACCAAGATTTTAAGAAATTTGACTTTTATGAATGACTTTCACTGTGATTTTTGTGCATGTGAGCTATACTCGTTTTTTATATGTATCACTTGTTCAAATATTAAACTTTGTTATATCAATGATATTTAAAGGAAATAAAAATTTGTTCAAGTGCATTTATAGCTACCAACATCAGTTGATGACTTACCCTCGGTAGTTTATATTCTTCATACAAAGTGAGTTTTTATTCCTCAAAAAAAAGGGAAGGAAAGGCTGTGAGGGTATAAACATAATACTTGTATTTTCCTAGTTTAGAGAAAATTTTAAGCATGTAAGAATTTCGAAAAAAACCCACCTTGAAATATACCTTCGCTAACAAAGTTTGTCCATCTGTCTATCTGTGAGTTAGATAGCTCGTCAGCTACACTGATGGAAGGTACCACACAGGAGGAGGTAAGAACCCAACACATTCTGGGGGAAAAAGGTCAAAGTTCAAAGTCACCTTAACCTATTAACTTAATTAAAATGTTTATGGATAGCTTTTCAGCTTGGCTCACAAACGCATCAGATACATACACAGGCTCAAGGTCAATGTGATTTTGTACTTCACTGGGCATAAGCTGGACAATTTCTGAACTACACTTTTAAACCTTTTTACAATTGTAACCCATTGAAGGGCTAAAACCCTTTCCGGTTCTTTAATTGCAAGCCCACTTGACTGAATTTAATTTGGCTTATCCTATCTTTATAATATTTAACAAAAGCTTGGTGCACCGGTGTTAGTTTATTTTCAAAGGGATTGAAGTGGCAACATTCCAAATGTATCGATCCGGTTGCTTTTTATTTTATTTCATTTCACATTCAAACATATTCATGTCATATATAGCATAGAATTTGATCCAGACAATTGATACCATCACCTAGAACTTCTCCAAGATGAGCAATGTCTAAACAGATACAATCGTTTTAAGTCAAGCACAGGAAGTCTTCACTGCATCTATCAGTACACCAGCATTCAAACAGTGTGAAGCGTCCTTGACCTCACAGTTGACTGGGGCAGGTGTTTGGTTTATCTGTCCTATATCATCACATTGTATTGAATCAAATATTGGCTAGCTTTAAAATTGGTGAGAGTGAAAAACAAGGATGAAAAAGAGATAATTTGGGAAAGTTTTGCTCAATAGAAATTCCATAGTTAGTACTGTGTCTATGAGTGTAGATTAAAGTTTGTTCTGATCATAACTCAAGGTTGAAAAAAAGGACCACATATATATTCAGGGTCAAAGTTCACTGCTGGTAATAATTGGTATATATTGTTTGTTTGTCTAAATAATCTTCTTATGATGATGATTGGCTGATAAATGACTCTTAATAAGTTCTTTTTCAAATGGGCATTATGTAAATATATTCAGATTTGTTTAGTGGGGTCTTCGATGCAAAAGGGGTCAAAGTTCAACATAAGATATAATTGTGCATAAATTGTTTCTCAGAATAATGTGAGTTTTATAAAACTGGAAAAGTAGTCGTATTTCATACACATGAAGAAAATTATAGGTTTGTGGTCTGTCACTCGCTAAAGGTCAAGTCAGTGTTACTATAAATAAATTGACAGTTATTTTGGGCCTGGACAGTATTTTGATAAAGTACAGTACCTCATATGGACAAAGGTTGCATGAGTATAGATTTGGAATTTCTTGTTCAAAGGTGAAGGTCATTGTTGCCATAATTAGATTTTCAACCTCTGAGCAGTCATATGACCATTTTTTTCCCTAGAGTAAGTAGTACATATAACTTCACTCATCAATACCTCATGTGAAGAAGATGCATATGATTATAATAAGGTCAAAGGTCATGATTCCGTGTTTACCATAAACACATAATAAATCTGTTATTTTCAGAGTTTTAAGACATTTCAAATTCATGGTCAATATAAGTTGTATGTTATTTAACAAAAAAACTGTTATTGATTAGAAATAATGAAATTTACGTATTGTATCGAAGTTTGAAAAAAAATTACTTACAGAATATTTGTTAAAATTGACTGGGCTCATGCTGGGTTTGTTCAGTTTGACTTATCTATTTGAAATATAAATCAGTGATCTATAATATTAATAAGACAAACCAGTAAGTAATTCAAGTTTTCGGCTGTTGATTGATCATATTTTGACGGATCCTGTGCTGTTGTATTCTATTCTCCATAATGAGGACTTATACAGTGTATCATCTTTCCCCTTATTGGGGGTAAGACAGACAAATCTCAACCTTAGCAGTAAGATAAAAATCTTAACTGTTTAGCCTGAGGCTTTGCTGAGGGCCAGACATTTAAGAATCTAATACCCCGACGGTTGAGATTTTTCTTAACTGTTCAGCCTGAGGCTTTGCTGAGGGCCAGACATTTAAGAATCTAATACCCCGACGGTTGAGATTTTTCTTAACTGTTTAGTCTGAGGCTTTGCTGAGGGCCAGACATTTAAGAATCTAATACCCCGACGATTGAGATTTTTCTGTCTTATTCCCAAGGTTGGGAAAGATTATTTTTTCTCCCACATCATATACAAGTGGTAAATTCATGAAATGCAAAGGTTTATTTCATAATTTCCAGCAGAGTTGAGCTATCTATCTGCTATTGATGATGTGATTTCATGTAATTGTTATGACAGGGGAATCCCTCCCCCCCCCCCCATCTTTACCCTAGGGTAAGACACAGAGATATCTTTCCCTGCCTAGAAGTGTGGATACCTCTGTCTAAAAGGGGAGAATAATTTATCATTACAGCGAATGATAGTAACCATAGTAATTAAATGTGAAGGGCAAAACTAACACTGGATTATAAGTATGGATTTTATTGGCAAAGGGCGAAAGTCTGACTAGCTGAAAGTTTCCCAGTATACACACATACTATACGGTATGATATTTTGACAGACCCCATCCGGAACACATCGAGTCCTACATCAAACCAGAACTCATCAAAAAGCTGATGAAGTACTTCCCGGAGGAATTCAAAGAGGACGAAATTGCTCGGAACCGTTGTCGTGATAAAATACTTGAGTGTGCCCAATACGCTCACCAGGTAATATACAAGTTTACATAAAGATAAATCTTTAAGACTGGATAAAAAAACAACTTTTATGTATTGTCTGACCATACTTAAGCTTTCTGGTAATATATCAGATGTTTTGTGATTTTTATTGCCAAGGTTTTGATGTTGTTGTAAATATATATACATTGTGCCTCAACAAATGGAATTTAGGGACGTAGACTGGAATTTCCCAGTCAAATAAAGGGCAATAAAACCTATTTATTCACTTTGACTTAAAATAACAACACAAAGATTTAATATATTCATTGAAACTTCACTGAGATTACCCATATAGGGGTCAAGGCCATACTTTATTCTTGCATTCAAATTTTAAAGCTCAACTGTCCGTACACATGATTTATTTGTAATCTAGTCTTACCATTTCCACCTACAGAACTACCAACTCTTATGATTTAGGGGTAGTTATTACAATTTTGAGATATGAATGATGACTTAACAATTCTCTGAAGTTAAGTAATGATTAAAAATATATCCAAAATCTTTCACTCTTATTTTTTTTAGTTCCACTGTAATCTGTAGTGTTAATATTGTCCATTTTCAGTATTGTAATCATAAATCAGAATCACACTTACCATTTCTTCATTGTTGAAATAGGATAGAGCAAATCCTTGAGTTAAGTCTATTGGCTAGGGCAAAGCCTAGAGTTAAGTCTATAGGATAGAGAAAAGCCTTGAGTTAAGTCTAGAGGCTAGAGCACAGCATTGAGTTAAGTCTATAGGATAGAGTAAAGCCTTGAGTTAAGTCTATAGGCTAGATCAAAGCCTTGAGTTAAGTCTATAGGATAATGCAAAGCCTTGAGTTATGTCTATAGGATAGAGCAAAGCCTTGAATTAAGTCTATAGGATAGAGCAAAGCCTTGTGTTAAGTCTATAGGATAGAGTAAAGCCTTGAGTTAAATCTAGAGGCTAGAGCACAGCATTGAGTTAAGTCTATAGGATAGAGTAAAGCCTTGAGTTAAGTCTATAGGCTAGATCAAAGCCTTGAGTTAAGTCTATAGGATAATGCACAGCCTTGAGTTATGTCTATAGGATAGAGCAAAGCCTTGAGTTAAGTCTATAGGATAGAGCAAAGCCTTGAGTTAAGTCTATAGGATAGAGCAAAGCCTTGTGTTAAGTCTATAGGATAGAGCAAAGCCTTGAGTTAAGTCTATAGGATAGAGCAAAGTCTTGAGTTAAGTCTATAGGATAATGCAAAGCCTTGAGTTAAGTCTATAGGATAGAGCAAAGTCTTGAGTTAAGTCTATAGGATAGAGCAAAGCCTTGAGTTCAGTCTAGAAGCTAGAGCAAAGCATTGAGTTAAGTCTATAGGATAGAGCAAAGCCTTGGGTTAAGTCTATTGGCTAGAGCACAGCCTTGAATTAAGTCTTTATGACAGAGCAAAGCCTTGAGTTACGTATATAGGCTAGATCAAAAGCCTTGAGTTAAGTCTATAGGATAGATAAAAAGCCTTGAGTTAAGTCTATAGGATAGATAAAAGCCTTGAGTTAAGTCTATAGGATAGAGTAAAGCCTAGAGTTTTGTCTGTAGGATAGAGCAATGCCTTGAGTTAAGTCTAAAGGATAGAGCAAAGCATTGAGTTAAGTCTAGAGGCTAGAGCAAAGCCTTGAGTTAAGGCTAGAGCAAAGCCTTGAGTTAAGTCTATAAGATAGAGCAATGCCTTGAGTTAAGTCTATAGGATAGAGCAAAGCCTTGAGTTAAGTCTACAAAGGAACATCATATGCAAGATGTATTACATGCTGTTGTGATTTTCTGATTTCTCACAGTAGTGAAAATGATGTGACATAGCATTTGAAAACTAGTTAGCACATGAGACAGCAAATCATCTGTTCTTGGATCCCAGAAGATGGATTCTTCCTTTGTAAAACGGGACTCAAACCTTGATCATTTTGTCAAGAATTAATGCTTGATTACGATTTTTGAATCTTGAAGCTTGGCAGTACTGTACCAATTCTATTACAATTTCATAGTAATGGTTTCATTTCCACAAGTAACCCTCATTCATACTCTGGATTCCAAAGTCAAATGCCACAAAAGAATACTTGGATTCAAAAGTCAAATGCCACATTGTATTTTAGCTAGTGCATATACTATTAAATGTACTCTGGACCTTAATTTTATTCAATATTAAATATCATAATGGTTGATCATGTTCCTTGGTTGTTTTACAGGGAGAACAAGAGTTTCTGACCATCCTACCTACAGATGGGGCTTCCTCGGATCTCAAGAATCTTGACAAGTACCTACTGCTGGCTTTGTTTAAGTGTATGTACCATCACCCACTTAAATCATAGTTTAAGTATTTCTTCAATGTTCATACAGATTTATTTAAAGAGATGTCAAATTAATACACATGGATGAAATAACAGACTTCTTCATTATACCAAATGTAAGATGTCTTTGTAAATGTTGAAGAAATTTTGCCATCAGATTAAACCATCATATCAAAATTACAAACCAGAACATTATAGACCAGAATGATTGATTTCTTTACAGCCCAGGCACTGAAGCGGGGGAGAAAGTTTCAGGAGCAGTTCCAGTGTGACCTTAAGTTGACCTTGGACTGGAATAGATGTGACCTTGCTGTATCCCAAATCTTCCAAAAATATGACTGGGCAAGGATCAAGGTTTGTGCCAATTTTAGCATATAAACATTTAAGGTTTCTTAGTCAAAGGTCTAGGTAACTGAGACAACAGATTCAAATGTATTGCCGACTATTATCACACCATTTGTTTCCTTAGCCTTTTCAAAAACTTCCAAAACTTAAGTCTGTTACAAACCAATTACAGATGCGGGGTTCGACACTAACACTAGTCCATTAGTCTAAGACTAAGAGATTTCAGCAAGGACTAGTGAATGTCTTAACCTAACTGGTCGTTATCATCACAATATCATCTGGTTAGATATATTATGAATATGAATATTACTTTTGGAAAAATGCTTAAAATTCAGATATCTTATATCTTAATGTGATAAAGAGTCTGAAGTATTTATTAACATGAATTCATGATCATAACTGCTCAGTCATATTTTAGCCCTTCACCATTGAAATCAAGATTTGCCCAAAAATAATTTTGCTCTTTGCATTTGATTATTATATATATAACATTGTTTACCTTCAGTGAAAATGTCCCAGTGTACAGTATGTATGTTGAACAGTCCTTTCAGGAATTTAATTTTTTCTCTAGAATTTTTCAATATCAAAATTTGAGGTCAAAGGTCAGATTGCACATTTTTACTTTGTCATTCAATGTAGGTGTTTTAAAAACAAACAAACATAACTCATAGATGTTGGAACGGCCACAGATTGAGTACATTTTACATGATCTGCAGTCAAGTGACAAAGACTAATAATTGGTGATGGTAGTTTTATGACAATCTTTTCGTCAGTTTTTTTTACTCAAATATTTTTACAACAGCTAGCCTGTGTCTACATGATTCGGGATAATAAAGCAATATTTTTATTGAAATTGGGAAGATATCCCTCATTTTTTTTGCTTCACTTGAGAAAAGTTAGGGCTTTTTATGTGAGGGGGAGCAACCTGTATTCATTTGTAAATAAAATCACTGTTCAGTGAAGCTTAACCCTTTCCACCACTGTAAACCATAATGGACTCATCCATATCAATGCATGGTAGAGTCTACTAAAGTTACATGGGGTGAAAAGGTTAAATACCAAAAAAACGTTTTTGGGGTAAAAAATATTGATTGGCATGATTATCATAATGTTAATTTTGATTTTTTTTAGAGGAACCAAGGATCTTTGGTATAGATATGGTAGAGACACATTAATTAAAATTCTGAAATTCTCTAATTACAAATAATGTAGCATGAACCCTTTTACAGATAACCCATGAGCTGTTTGACCGTGCCTTGTTGAAGAAGGGTCGGGAAGAATTTGTTGACCTCTTTCTTCAAAGGGATGCCATTCAAGTCCACAAATACCTCAACCATCGCAAGCTACTGTTCTTGTTCAACAATCTGGAGAATGAGGAATTTTTCCTCACTGTCTGCCTGGACGGAGTGTTGGCCAAAGCCTCGGTGAGTCTTTTTTAGCTCTTAATACATAGCCTCATTATCACATACCGCATCAGGGCACCTACATATCTGTTGCTAGCTTCGTCACATACGGTTAACAATCAGGTCAGATCGAATCGATTGAATAAATATTGTCAACTCTAGCCGCCAATTTTAAACAATTGGAGTTGACATCAGCTAAAATCACGATGAACACTTCAGTCGTTGATACTGGACAACAACGGCCTATTATGATATATTTGCAAATCTGGCGATGAATAATGATACAGATGTCTTTCTTCTGTTTACTTAAATATTAATAATTGATTATCAAGTTCAATTTGCACTTAATCAAAGCAGAGGCAGGAAGGTAGGCTGCAAAGAAGTACATATAGTTCAAAAAGGGTGTTGAAATTATCGGCCTATTTGAACTGACCGGAGTTTTATCATATTCCTCCTTATTCTCTTACCACTTTGAGGGGATCAACAGCTTTCTGAATGGTTGCCTGTACCTGGTACCACTCTTTTAAAATGTATTTTTATATGTCTGTTTGATAAATTGGGATAATGGCATGGCATATTTTCCATCAGCTTTCATTTATAATGACTTGTTTCAAGGACAAACGATTCGTAGTTTTTCACAACATATATATATACTGATAAAAAATTACCAAACCCATCAATCAAAAGCACCAAAAATTTTAACTTTAACCTATCACGCTCTGTAAAACAAGGATGCCCTTTGGCTCCAATTTTATATATAATTCAGGCAGAGGCACTTGCCTGCTCCATAAGGAAAGATAAAAATATAACAGGTATTGACCTCCCAGAAGTAAATAATATAAAAATCCAAGCAAAAATAAGCATGTTTGCAGATAATTCGCAACTGTTTCTAGGTAAAGAAAATTCATTGCCGTTTTTATTCAAGATTTTAGAAAAATATGAGAAAGCATCAGGTGCATGGGTAAATAAAAAGAAAACAAAAGGTCTGTACATAGGCAGCTGGAAGCAAAGACCCCCAAACTATACAGATATATCATGGGTCAGAGACAATATCAAGGTATTAGGAATATTTCATGGATATAATAAAGATAAAACAAGGCTATGGGAGAATAAAATTAAAAAAATCGAAAACAGAATCAATACATGGAAAGTGAGAAATTTGTCATTAGAAGGGAAAACTCTAATAATCAAATCCCTTCTATGCTCTCAGTTAACTTATGAATTAGCACAAAACACCATACCTGAAGAATATTTACAAAAAATAAAAAAATTAATATATAAATTTCTTTGGGGTAGTAAAATAAATAAGGTGGCAAAAGAAACTGTGTATTTAGAAAAGGGGCAGGGAGGGTTAAATATGACAGATATAGAGATAATTGTTACAATGAATAGAATCAAACTAATATATAGAGTAATTCATAGTGAAATACAGACGTGGAACATACTAGGTAAACACTTTCTGCAAAGCTATGACAGAGCTTACAATACAGATTATTTCTTATGTAGATGCAGCAACACTCATAATTTGGAGTTGAAAAAAATTCCGGCAATTTATCGGGAGGGAATTTGGCATTGGCAAAAACTGCAAAAAAAAGTACCTGTAAGCAGTGCAGAAGATGTCCTTAACCAAAACCTATTTGGGAATCATAATGTATTATTTAAAAATAATCCACTTTTTTTCAAAAATTGGGCAAGGAGTGGAATAACAAAGATAAAACATATCTGGAATGTTGTACAAAATAACTTTATTTCATCAGAACAATTACTGGAAAAGTTAAAAAGTAAAAATAACTGGATATCGGAATTCTCAAAAATCAGAGGGGCCCTTCCGTCAGGGTGGAAAAACATACTACAAAATAATAATGAAAACAATATTAGTGCCTTTAAAATTTCAGATGACTTAGTTTTCACTTATAAAAACAGCATTTTAGCCATGAACAAGTGTTTTAACAAAATAATTAAATATATATTGTATCAAAATAGTAAAGAGATAAAATCCCTTCAGAAATGGAATGATCTTTTTGCATTGGACTGGAATGCCATCTGGCTCTCTATAAATAACACTATCATTGACAGGAAAATCAAGGATTTTCAGTGGAGAAGCCTACACAGAATTTTAACCACTGAATATAAACTTAAACAAATGCAGAAATCAAATGGTCTATGCAACTTCTGCAAAGAAGTACATGAAACCCAACAACATCTCTTTAGTGGGTGCAGGTTTAGTGAAACAATTTGGTTCAGGATAGAACAATTACTAAATGAAAGTCTAGCAACAAGCAATGTTCATATTAGGTTAACAGAAAAGGAAAGAATCTTTGGTGTCTCAGAATATAATGATAATATAAATAAACTATGTAATCTAATCATATTTCAGTCTAAATGGCTAATTTGGAAGGCAAGAAATCTACAGAAATTTGAAAATGAAGATCAAATTCCACTATCATTATTTAATAGGATAACAAACCAATTGAAAAATACAGCGGATAATATAATAAGTGCAAACAGACAAAATTATACATTCATTGCTTTAATTCATTCATTGAAATCACAGCTATAGCTATAATTAATATAAATACAATTATGTTGCTACTGTAATGAATAAGTACAAAAAGAATTGTGAGTCTTTATAAATTTACCTACTCTGATAATGAAAATAATGAGTGAATGAATGAGCCTGTGTGATAATTGGTTTTTGTTATTTTAATCTGATGAAAATTTATATAATATATATAAAACAATGTATACCTAATAAGAATGAAGTAGGATGATGTATAGAACAATGTATGCAGGTAATAAGATGAAAAATGATGTAGTGATATGTAAAACAATGTATGCTTTATTACAAGATGAAGAATGATGTATTGATTTGTAAAACAATGTATGCTGGTTATAAAAGATGAAGATGAAGAATGATGCAGTGATATGTAAAACAATGTATGCTTGTTATAAGATGAAGAATGATGTAGTGATATGTAAAACAATGTATGCTGGTTATAAGATGTATATAAAAATATGCAAGTTAATGAAATAAAACATTTTGAAAGAAAAAAAAAAAAAGCACCAAAAATTCTATTAATTCTAGGGTTCAAAAGTCAAGGTCATTGTGACTCGATACTTTAAAATGCATTCTAGACCATACAAAACTGAATTCATTAGCCAACACTTAATTGAATGAATTGAATGTATAACAGGGCCAAGAACTCATCATTTCTTAGTGACAATGGTCAAGGTCACTGTGACCTGGTTTTTCAAAATGTATCCTAGACGTATTATTCTGTTTGAGAATTTTACAACTACTGCTTCAACTATTAACGGTATCATTCTTCAGTTAAGGGTTGACATATTGATTGATTTTTGGTTTCAAAGGTCAAGGTCACTGTAAACAATTTTTTTCCAAATTTGAGGTGAGTTCCTGCTTTCTGATTGATTGACCATTACTAATTTTATGTCATTTTGATCAGACTGCAAAATGCATACATTTCCAGATCATGTCTTCAAAAGTCTGTTTGCCTTGACTCTTCACATGACTGGCTGTTGCCAGAATGTTAGAACCTGATAAAAAAATAAATCATTGGTCACGGAAATCACTGACATAATTAATTCTAAATACCATTTTCGACCAAATAAGCGTGCTGTGCCCTTACAAAAATACAAGAGGGGTGTGCCTAACAACCCTTTCATGCTCAAACTGGTTGAAACAAGCCGTATCTATGTGTGTTCAAACCGGTCAGTCAAAAAACCACAAGAATAATGTGCTTAATAGCTCTTTCGTGCTTCAAGCTGCTGAAACTTGCCAATTTGTAGATGATAATAACGTGAGGTTGGTGACAGAAAAACAGGGTTTTAATTAAGCCCACCCATCATATTTCTCAAAAAAAAGGTGGTGTGAGCTTACAGTGGCGGGTGCACTTATAAGGTCAAATACGGTATAAACCGAAATTTTTAACAGTGGGGGGTGCTTTGTATACTGTTAACAATAGTTAGAAACTGGTCTGAAGTCATCATTGGTTATTATTTTGAAATGCTTGACTCCATTACAGTACTCTTCTTATCCCCTGGACAAGGACTTTATCATCGGTGACGATTGTGATTTCAACCAGCTGCTGTACCGAGTGACCTTCCTACAGCGACTAGTGTCATCGTACGAACTCTCAATGAACTCTGTGGGGTCATACGTCACAGATCAGGAGGTGGCAGAAAGGAGGGTAATTAAGACATGTTGCTCAAAAATTATTTAATCGGAGTTGTTAAATGAACTGAAATCTAATTCTTGTCATGAACAATATTTAAACTTGTAAATAGTTAAGTTAGGAAGTGCATCATATATGAAATATGATTTTTTAAGGAAAAAAGAAATTATGAAAAGACTAATACATCTTTGTAAGCTAACATTACTGTACCCAAAATGGGACACTTGTGAGGAAACGGCCCAAGGAACTGTCATGCAATGAAAAGAGGTTCTTTCATGTATGCAGTTTTCATTTGATGATACTTTTATGAAAATTTAACTGTTTATAAGCCTTATTGGCTGCTAATCTTAATTTGAGACGTTATCTATTTGGATGTCATTTTTTCAAAAGTCCATTTTATCTTGGAGAAGAAATTTATTCAGAACCCCCTTTGACTCTGAAATATTTGAACTATGTATAATTTTCTGCTGATATTGATCATTTATCCCCGAATATTTGCCAAAATACCAAAGTGTCCCTATCGGGGCAAAGTAACACCTGTATTGTTTATATGTATTTTTATCAAAAGATAAGTTCTATTCCTAAATGTCAGTTATACAAAATTTCACTATAATTACAGGCAATTAACACGCTGGTGTTCTGGGCCGCAATAACCTTCAATCCAGAACTGACAAAGGTCCTGTGGAAGAGGACAGAAGACCCTATGGTGATGGCACTCATTGTCAGTATGATCTGGAACAGCCTCTCCAAGAATTGGTGCCGTGACCTGGATACCAAGCGCAAAGTGCGAGAGTCTGCGATGTATGTAACGCTAGTCTAAGATAATCTACTAGAAAATCAGAGAATTCCATCTTAATATCAGATCATCATTTATCTTCATAAACTCACATTGTACAGTGAAGCCTGTATAATCTGACATTATGGGACACAATATACTGGTCAAATTAGACAGAGGTCAGAATATACAGGTTTTATATGGTGTTTTTCATTGGATGTGGGATTAGATTAGATTATCTTGGATTAGACAGGGGTCAGATAAGATTAGTTCCACTGTATGTTCAAGTAATGAATTAATTGAATTCATTTGATTTCATATCGTTTTTCAATTTTAAACTTTTCAGCTTCCTGTCCATCAGTGTATCTGTAGCCAGAATTTTGTCTGGATAACTTCTACATTTTTTATCTGAATTTTTGCCAACCCTTCAAATATAATTACTCTACTCTGCAGTTTTGCAAAAGTTTCCAATTCAAACTTAGAGAAAACTATGCTAATCTTTTATCTTATCCTTTGAGTTCTGTCCCTTTTCTCATTTCTGTGTATACATATTGTATAAATGGAAAAAAAACTACTGCTACTTACATTCTTAAATGATAAATACAAAACTTAGCAAACATGATATTAACCTTAGATAGTTGTGTGAATTTGTATACCCCCCGCAACGAAGTTAGGGGGTATACTGGAATCACCCTGTCTGTCTGTCTGTCTGTGGTCCGCAGTAACTTGTCTGGAAAACTCCATCTTAACTAACAGGCAGATTATATTGAAACTTCACTTGAATGATCAGTATATTATGTAGTTGTGCACCAGCATTTTAATTTCTGATTTCAACACTTTTTAAGGGAGTTATGGCCCTTTATGTGAAATAACTTGTCCAGAAACCCCAAGGTCACTAAATGATGTATTAACTACCAGCATCTGCGGGGGGTATTATTTATCCCCCAGTTGACAGTTCTAGTTTCTTTTTAATTTCCAATAGCTCCATAGGTGGGATGTGATGAAGGCAGAGAAATTTCAACCCACCGAAAAAGGTCTTTGTCGCTCTGCACTTAGCAACCTCAAAAACTTTACCTTTGGGTTGAGATTTCTCTATTGCCATCATACAGTGGAGATAGAATCAGTTAATCCATTCCTGTCGTTTATTTTGTAGTGACTTTGGTAAGATGGCAGTCAAACTTCTGGACCTTGCTTATAAGGATTCTAGTGTTGTTGCAATCAACGCCCTCGGCAAAAAGCTTCCCGACTTCAACGACAAGACAGTGATAGAAATCGCCCACATTGCCAGGAATAAATTCTTCATCGCTCACACGATCTGTCAAAAGTGGTTGGATAAACGCTGGAATGGCAAACTTCAGATCAGAGAACTTGAGATCGGACCATTCAAGGTTGCCGACTGGCTGGTGGTGAGACTAAACTTGTTACCAGAAATCAGTGTTGTATCTCCAACATAGAAGAGTTCCAGTTTGTTTGACATTTTTGTACGAATTCAATGTAAACTTTCTAGTAACTTCATTCTTTGACGGATTTTCATCAAACGTTTTACAAAGGTCATAACTAGGTCATAAGAATGCCTCTGACATCACTGTGTTCCAGGGTTCCAAGGTCAAGGCCAAGGTCGTTGTTGCTATATATAGAAAGTATTTGTAACTATTTATAGAACATTGTGAAACACTGAAACTAAATTCACATGGCCGCAGGAGCAGTTATATCTTTTACAGACATTTTCTAGTTTGTACAGCTTGGAGCTTATTCACTGAATGAATGTCCAGTTTTATGATAATGTTATGTTAATAATTTTCTGTAACATTACTGGGATCGATACATTAGAAATGTTCGAACTCCATAAACCTGTAATTGTACTTGCATGAATGTAGAAATTTTACAGGAAAGCCTGTATACAGATACAGAAGAAAAATTTTGCGAATCTGTGCGTACCTTAAAGTTTTACAATTTCCAAATATATTGGAAGCAGGGGTGTTTGATTGTCTTCAAACTGAGTAACAGGGTTCACCGCATTAAGCGCTCAGCCAAGTTTGACAACCACTTTAATCGGACTACATTTGGTAGAGTCATTATCTGCAGTTTTCGCTTAATATTAAAGGGGCTGATCGGGGAAAAAATGTCATATTTGCTAAAATGGCATACACATGTTTAAAATACCTTCTTATGAAATATATCGATTCAAATTTTGCTGAAATTCACTCCCTAAGAGTAAAAATTATAATTATATTAAAGAAATCCTAAATCGTCACCTGACAGTCTAAAACTCTCAATTGACCCAGATCAGTGATGTAATTTTACCGCACGCGCGTCATCAACAAGGCCAAATGTAAACATCACGGCGAAAGAAAAAGATGCATGCAAAAGTCATGACAGGCACGAGGTATCAATACCATTATATATAACAACATATAGGTAGGAATACTGCACTTCCATCATACATGACCTTTGAAAACAATTATTTACGTATAGTATTGCTGTCTTGTCCGCTAGTTGAGTCAGACATGGCACATGACGGCGTGCTATTGTTGTTATCTTCACTGCCTCACTTTCGAAACAACCACGTGACATATATAAATAGATCTGCGCTAAATTTACGTGGGGCTTCCCCGAGATTTCAGTGGTCAAAACTGGACATTGCAAGAAGAACTCAACCATCATATATTGCCGTGGTATAACTTTTGGAAGGCCAGAGAACGCATTTAGACCCATTTATTTTGTATTTTTTTCCCCGACCAGCCCCTTTAAAATAGCAAAAATATTAGATAAGGCTCTTTTTCTTCGAGTTTCAAGCTATACATTATGTCTCAACAGCACAATTCCTCCATGTTCAAACCTAACCTCAATAATGTTTACCTACAATATGTCCTGAAAGCGGGGGATATAAATTCCACGAATTTGCTTGTTTCACTAGGGTTGGGGGCTTATTTGCAGTATAATACAGTATATAGTAATATAGTATGTTTATAATTAATATTTGTATAAACGTTTCTCCTTACAGCTGTACCTCAGTGTGTTCCTTGTGTTCCCTATGTTTCTGTGGATAACATACGACGTCAAGAATGATTCCAAGGATGAGTCAAATCTAGGTTGGTTGTTATATTGCAACAAGATAAAGCCTATCTATAATTAGTGCCTTAACTATGAAAACAATACTTGTTGACAAGGTACCTGAATGTTTAGTGGTTGGATATTAAGTGATTGTACACTATTTGTAACTCTTAATTTCTCAGCACAATGAAAAGGAATCCCCCCCCCCCCCCCCCCCAATTTTTTTTTAAAAAAGTGGGTAGATTTAGATAGGTTGATATTTATGATACTTAAGGATCCTTGTACCACTACCAAAGCTTATAACAAAGGATTGGAAACTATTTTTTCTAGCATGTCTCTATCTTTGATAATCATTCCGGATCTGAAAAGAAAATGCAAGACGTTTATGAAAAAATAATGAAGAAGAAATAAACAAAATATAATCAAAAATAGTCTGAATGTAAAAAAATTAGTGGGGCTAGCTAGACATAGCACATGGCTAGCTAGGATCGGAACCCAGGACTTCATACTGTTATAGTATAATACTAATTCTCAAACAGATTAAGCTACCTAGTCAGTGGAAGTGACCCGGCCCAACAGTTCTACAGTTCTATCCAAATGGAAGTTAAGGGGAGGTTACTGTGTTTATGATAACCTACAGTGCAGTGGGACAGGGATACTTAAGGAAGTAAAGGGGAGGTTACTGTGTTTATGATAATCTACACTGGAGTAGGACAGGGATCCTTAAGGAAGTAAAGGGGAGGTTACTGTGTTTATGATAACCTACAGTGCAGTGGGACAGGGATCCTGAAGGAAGTAAAGGGGAGGTTACTGTGTTTATGATAACCTACAGTGCAGTGGGACAGGGATACTTAAGGAAGTAAAGGGGATGTTACTGTGTTTATGATAATCTACACTGGAGTAGGACAGGGATACTTAAGGAAGTAAAGGGGATGTTACTGTGTTTATGATAACCTACAGTGCAGTGAGACAGGGATACTTAAGGAAGTAAAGGGGAGGTTACTGTGTTTATGATAACCTACAGTGCAGTGGGACAGGGAAGGAAGTAAAGGGGGTGTTACTGTGTTTATGATAACCTACAGTGCAGTGGGACAGGGATCCTTAAGGAAGTAAAGGGGATGTTACTGTGTTTATGATAACCTACAGTGCAGTGGGACAGGGAAGGAAGTAAAGGGGGTGTTACTGTGTTTATGGTAACCTACAGTGCAGTGGGACAGGGAAGGAAGAAAAGGGGGTGTTACTGTGTTTATGATAACCTACAGTGCAGTGAGACAGGGATACTTAAGGAAGTAAAGGGGAGGTTACTGTGTTTATGGTAACCTACAGTGCAGTGGGACAGGGAAGGAAGTAAAGGGGATGTTACTGTATATAGGGAAAACCACAGTGCAGTGGGACAGGGAAGGAAGTTAAGGGTAGGTTACTGTATACAGGGAAAACCACAGTGCAATGGGACAGGGATACTTAAGGGAAACAAGGGGAGGTTACTGTATATAGGGAAAACCACAGTGCAGTGGGACAGGGAAGGAAGTAAAGGGGATGTTACTGTATATAGGGAAAACCACAGTGCAATGGGACAGGGAAGGAAGTTAAGGGTAGGTTTCTGTATACAGGGAAAACCACAGTGCAATGGGACAGGGAAGGAAGTTAAGGGGAGGTTACTGTATATAGGGAAAACCACAGTGCAATGGGACAGGGATACTTAAGGGAAAAAAGGGGAGGTTACTGTATTTAGGGAAAACCACAGTGCAGTGGGACAGGGATACTTAAAGGAAAAAAGGGGAGGCTACTGTATATAGGGAAAACCACAGTGCAGTGGGACAGGGATACTTAAGGGAAAAAAAGGGGAGGTTACTGTATATAGGGAAAACCACAGTGCAATGGGACAGGGAAGGAAGTAAAGGGGAGGAGGTTACTGTATACAGGAAAAACCACAGTGCAGTGGGACAGGGATACTTAAGGAAGTAAAGGGGAGGTTACTGTATATAGGGAAAACCACAGTGCAGTGTGACAGGGATCCTTAATAGACCTGGAGTTTTGAGTCTGATCAGATTTTTTCGGATTAAAGTCAATGGTTAAGCACATTAAATCATATATAGGACAAGTTTGTGGATGGGATTTCTCAAACACAAAGAATATATTTTATCAATGTTGTTTGTTTAAAAAAATACTTGTAAAAGTGAATTATTATCAAATAAATATAACCATTGACATGGTTAATATTCCATATTTTTAGAAATATCATTTATATATATTTTTATGCAGGTAATGTTTTTCTCATTTATCCTCTGTGGTCTATGTCAGTTATATAAATTGTATCGTGCATGAATACATTGCAACTATTGATAATTATATTTGTGATACTTTGTCTGTTTAGTAAATCTTTCCAACTATAGATTTATCAAGTACAATTTGAAGAAGTTTTAAGGAATGATATTCAAATTACGTAATTTTTGATTTTTATTTCTGCTAGCATATAAAGTCTGGTTATGAATTGCCACTAATTAGCTGTATAAGATGTATTTATCTTGGTTACAGACGACTCGGATGACGAGATCCCACTAGATGAGGGTATTATGTTACAGCCATCCGCTTTACAGGGCGAAAAATGGGTAATGTACACACGTCTGTGTGTTTTAAATAAGACATTGGTAGTTCTATACAAAATTTGGCGTCAATATGCATTCCATGAATTTCGCCTTTTGGTATACAGTCAAGCACTTGTGATGTTATAGTTGTGTTTATAATAATAAGCAGTAACTTTTAAAAACAATGATAAACTGCCTATATACCCTGTGGGAGTTATCTATGTGAGCCTGTATACTCTGTGGGAGTTATCTATGTGAGCCTGTATACCCTGTGGGAGTTATCTATGTGAGCCTGTATAACATGTGGGAGTTATCTGTGTGAGCCTGTATACCCTGGGGGAGTTATCTATGTGAGCCTGTATACCCTGTGAGAGTTAGCTATGTGAGCCTGTATACCCTGTGGGATTTATCTATGTGAGCCTGTATACCCTGTGAGAGTTAGCTATGTGAGCCTGTATACCCTGTGGGATTTATCTATGTGAGCCTGTATACCCTGTGGGGGTTATCTATGTCAGCCTGTATACCCTGTTGGAGTTATCTATGGTAACTTTTAAAAACAATGATAAACTGCCTATATACCCTGAGGGAGTTATCTATGTGAGCCTGTATACGCTGTGGGAGTTATCTATGTGAGCCTGTATATCCTGTGGGGGTTATCTATGTGAGCCTGTATCCCCTGTGGGAGTTATCTGTGTGAGCCTGTATACTGTGTTGGAGATATCTATGTGAGCCTGTATACCCTGTGGGGGTTATCTATGTAAGCCTGTATACCCTGTGGGAGTTATCTTTGTGAGCCTGTATACCCTGTGGGAGTTTTCTGTGTGAGCCTGTATACTCTGTTGGCGTTATCTATGTGAGCCTGTATACCCTGCGGGAGTTAGCTATGTGAGCCTGTATACCCTGTGGGATTTATCTATGTGAGCCTGTATACCCTGTTGGAGTTATATATGTGAGCCTATATACCCTGTGGGAGGTATCTGTGTGAGCCTGTATACCCTGTTGGGGTTATCTATGTGAGCCTGTATACCCTGTGGGGGTTATCTATGTCAGCCTGTATACCCTGTTGGAGTTATCTATGTGAGCCTATATACCCTGTGGGGGTTATCTGTGTGAGCCTGTATACCCTGTTGGAGTTATATATGTGAGCCTATATACCCTGTGGGAGTTATCTGTGGGAGCCTGTATACCCTGTTGGAGTTATCTATGTGAACCTGTATACCCTGTGGGAGTTATCTATGAGGGCCTGTATACCCTGTGGGAGTTATCTTTGTTAGCCTGTATACTCTGTTGGAGTTAACTATGCGAGCCTGTATAACCTGTGGGGGTTATCTATGTGAGCCTGTATACACTGTTGGAGTTATCTATGTGAGCCTGTATATCCTGTGGGGGTTATCTATGTGAGCCTGTATACACTGTTGGAGTTATCTATGTGAGCCTGTATCCTCTGTGGGAGTTATCTATGTGAGCCTGTATAACCTGTGGGAGGTATCTATGTGAGCCTGTATACCCTGTGGGGGTTATCTATGTCAGCCTGTATACCCTGTTGGAGTTATCTATGGTAACTTTTAAAAACAATGATAAACTGCCTATATACTCTGTGGGAGTTATCTATGTGAGCCTGTATAACATGTGGGAGTTATCTGTGTGAGCCTGTATACCCTGTGGGAGTTAGCTATGTGAGCCTGTATACCCTGTGGGATTTATCTATGTGAGCCTGTATACCCTGTTGGAGTTATCTATGTGAGCCTATATACCCTGTGGGAGTTATCTGTGTGAGCCTGTATACCCTGTTGGAGTTATCTATGTGAGCTGTATACCCTGTTTGAGTTATCTATGTGAGCCTGTATACCCTGTGGGAGTTAGCTATGTGAGCCTGTATACCCTGTGGGAGTTATCTATGTGAGCCTGGATACCCTGTGGGAGTTATCTATGCGAGCCTGTATACCCTGTGGGAGCTATCTATGTGAGCCTGTATACACTGTGGGAGTTATCTATGTGAGCCTGTATACCCTGTGGGAGTTATCTATTAAGTAGAAGCTTTTTTCAGAATTTTAGCCTCAAAAAGTACCTACGCAAATTACACGGGTTTTTACAGTATGTGATTTAGAATGCTTTATTTTCCACAGAAGCAGAAGCGTCACAGTGTAAAGTACCAGATGAGGAAGATGTTTGACTATGGTCGACAAAACCTCAAAGTCCCGGTATACATGCAGTTCTATTACCTGTATAGTGCACCCATAACGAAGTTCTGGGTCAGTCAGGTATAGTTCACTCTCCAGGTGCTTCATATGTACCATTCTTAAACAACCAATAGGTGGAAGATAAACATGTCAAAGGTGACCATCTGTAGTTGAACATTTTACCTACATTACCCAGGTAGAAGGCAGATTTACAGGGTTAGTTTCCTGAATTAAAGCATGATTCCCGGTGGCAAAGCCAAAAGGAAATATGATACACTGAGGGAAATAAACCTTTCTATCTCCCTATTACATTGTAGCAGTGCAATAAATAGTTTTGGTGGTCGGGTGGCACAGTGGATAGTGCACTTGCCTTTCACCAAGGCAGCCGGGGTTCGATTCCCCGATAGGACGTGAAAAGGTATGCGGTCACCTGCCCGACCACGTGGGTTTTCTCCGGGTACTTCAGTTTCAACCCACATTAATACCCCCTGCGCGTTAGCATTCGGGCCAACAAGAGCGATTAGTATAAGTTGAAATAACTTGTTTCGTAATTGTTCTAAATGAAATAAAGTTTATTATTTTTCTTATACTGAAAAAGAAACAACTTTTGAGAGAAAATGTGTCAGTCATTAGAAGCTTTTATTTCTGTTATATATGTATAAAAATAAATAATGAAACAAGAGGCAGATCTCCAAATAAGGTGATTCTGCACACACTAACTGGGGGCATTAGTGGGGTTCCAATTGATCAGCTTTGCAGGGTATTGATTGGTTAAAAGCCATGTGAATGATTAAGCAACTACAGATTCTGTGATTGATTCTTAGTCAGTGAAGTTGTGGGTGGATGTTTATTGGTTTCCCAGTGAATGGTTGAATGATTTTAAGTATATTTCTGTGTCATATATCATGCAGCAAATTGCTCAAATTATTTGTTTTTAACTTTTCCGTTTGTTATGAAATTGTATTGTTTTCCTATTCGCTAATATTATATTGTCCCTTTCTTGAATTCAAATCCTCCTGATCAGTCTTAAATAGTCAAATAACAGAAATATACATAATATATACCAAATTCAATTGATTTACCGGGTAATACAAATATTTCTTGAATGTTTCATTTGGTCTATTTGTGATTTTTTTTTATTCTTTCAGCTGTTCTATATACTGTATCTGACAATCTTCAGTTTGGCTGTTATGTTTCCCTCCTGTGGGAACCTTCACATGGATTTCATTGTGTTTGGCTGGACACTGTTGATTTGGGTTGAGTTGGTCCGTGGTGTCCTAGCCAAGAAAAAGGTGAATGTTTATATAATATTAAAGGGACAAAGTTTGAAAATATGAAATGTGACAGTGTCTTGAATTTACATTTCATGAGGTATATTAATTGCCCCAGACTCATCATTGTCCTAGCCATGAAAAATGTGAATATTTAATATTAAAGGGACGAAGTTTGAAAGTTTGAAATCAGACAGCATCTTGAATTTACATTTCATGAGGTATATTCTTTGCCCCAGACTCATTATTGTCCTAGCCATGAAAAATGTGAATATTTAATATTAAAGGGACGAAGTTTGAAAGTTTGAAATCAGACAGCATCTTGAATTTACATTTCATGAGGTATATTCATTGCCCAAGACTCATTGTTCTAGCCAAGAAAAATGTGAATATTTAATATTAAAGGGACGAAGTTTGAAAGTTTGAAATCAGACAGCATCTTGAATTTACATTTCATGAGGTATATTCATTGCCCCAGACTCATTTTTGTCCTCCCCATGAAAAAGGTGAATATTTAATATTGAAGGGACGAAGTTTGAAAGTTTGAAATCAGACAGCATCTTGAATTTACATTTCATGAGGTATATTGTTTGCCCCAGACTCATTACTGTCCTAGCCATGAAAAATGTGAATATTTAATATTAAAGGGACGAAGTTTGAAAGTTTGAAATCAGACAGCATATTGAATTTACATTTCATGAGGTATATTCATTGCCCCAGACTCATCGATGTCCTAGCCATGAAAAATGTGAATATTTAATATTAAAGGGACGAAGTTTGAAAGTTTGAAATCAGACAGCATCTTGAATTTACATTTCATGAGGTATATTCATTGCCCCAGACTCATTGTCCTAGCCAAGAAAAATGTGAATATTTAATATTAAAGGTACGAAGGATGAAAGTTTGAAATCAGACGGCATCTTGAATTTACATTTCATGAGGTACATTCATTGCCCCAGACTCCTTGTCTTAGCCAAGAAAAAAATGAGTGTTTAATATTAAAGGGATGAAGTTTGAAAGTTTGAAATCTGAAGTGTCTTGAGTGTACAATTCATGAAGTGTGTTCATTGCCCCAGACTCCTTGTCTTAGCCAAGAAAAAAATCATTAATGAGTGTTTGATATTAAAGAGACGAAGTTTGAAAGTATGAAATCTGAAGCGTCTTTGAGAATGCATATGTCATGATGAAGTAAATTCATTGCCCAAGACTCCTGTGTCAACTTTTTCACATAGTTGATTCTTCCCAGACCAAATTGATCAAATTTGATACATGCTATCAAAGAGCAAAAGGAAATTCTCAAATATGAATGAACGATTGAAGATTTATCGTTGATTTCATCCAGTTTTAACTGGCATAAAGTCATAAGCATAAAGCCATAAAAATTTAACGAAACTGATAAATAATTTCCCAATCCCTAACACTTATGATATCAGCGCTAGAAATTAATTTTCAAAACCACTAGTCATGCAGTCGGGTTAGTAGTTTCCAATTTTACTGGTCTGTGTTCATTCCACTAACCCAGGTATTTTCAACATGATAAGTTATATCAAATTTTGAATGGTCAATCAGGCTAGAAGTGTTTAGAACCACTAGTCCAGCTGGAGGTTCACAACCTTAGTTTCAGACTAGCTCTGAATATGATTGCAGAAATACCTGGAGATGAACCTGTTCTGGACCAAGATGGAGATCGGCCTGATCGGAATCTTTCTGATCCTTTTCTGTCTGGTGAGGATTGTGCCGCACTTCGTGAGCTTCATTGACTACATGACGACAAAGTTTGTGATGAGTCTCGGCCTACTCTACTTCTACTACAGGACCTTACAGGTGTTCCTTCCCATCAGTCCGGTCCTTGGTCCGATGCTCATCAACATCCGCAGAATGGTCAGTACTTACCTGTCAATACTACCCGTGTTTACAGTCTGGAAGTAATCTTAATTTGATAATTGCCTTATACCGTATTACCGGATATTTCTGCGGGGATATTGGAGCGATTTCGTGGGTCAATAACATGTTCGCAAAATATGATCCGAAGAATTATATGACAAGCATAAAAAATGAGACTCAATAATAACCTTCATAACCGTAATGTTTTCATTAAAATAGCAAGTATGTGGTCAAGAATAATACAAGATGTTTGAAAATAGAAGTTTTGTTGATGATTTTTTTAACAAAATATTTTAACTTGTTTTGCGCATTATGCTGTCATAAAGCATATTCATTTGGCTATTTGACATTTTATATGCAAAGTGTTGCATATCTGTGTTCTATTTAGATTGTGAAATTAGAATCCATGTTAATAAAATGTTCTAATTTTGGGTCAAATTGCAAAAAATGTAAGCGCATGTAAATAACCTTATTCAGAGTATCACCTCAGTTTCATTGAAATGTATCAATGACTCATGGTATATCACTGTGTCAAGTAAAACAGTTTTGCATGTTCTAAATTTTACGAAAAGGAAATTATTCTTGAAGCCGCAATAAACAGTAGTGAGCATTAGTAAGTTGCTTCAAGATTTTATTAACAAGACAGCCTCGTCTTATTTGTTTAGATAAACTAGACTTTTAGACGTTTGAATTACCAGTGTCAGGTATGGTACAAGTAGCTATATTTAACTGCATCATTTGAAAGGCTTTACCAGAATATACTGGATCAGCATTTTCATTAAACCATTCAAAATCATCCGGTCTCTTACTGGAATTGTGAAATTGCTTTTTGTGCCAATAGAGCTTGTTTTAACCTAAGTGTTTTTGTGTTTTAATGCTATGACTGATATTTTAATTTTGCATTTGCTACAGTCAATATTGAACTACTTAATGTGTGTTTTATAGGCTTTTGCTAGTTTATGTAGCAGCGGAATGCATTAAAAATAGAATATTTTAACTTAAATTCATTGTTTGATAATACTGTGGTAGGTTTTTATTATATATTTGATCATGGTCATCTGCTAGCTTTAAGCTAGATGGAATTACCAGGGAGATTTATAGATAGAGTAGCTGATTGGGAAGCTGGGGTTTCACTGGTTCAATCACACTCTTCCTATTACAGTCCCAATCATGTAATAATTCTGAATTTTGTTTTATATGGTCATGGCAGCACTTTTTACGTAGTCAGATAGCTACAGGCAGGGAGAAACAACCTTATTGCTAGCTCTTGGAACTTGTGTGATATCATTGGTAATGTCTGATTGTTTAGAATTTAAACATGTTTGTTGTTTAATGAGTACGATTTATGTTTTAAAGTTATAATGCATGATTGTCCTGTTCATCTTAAGGATCCCCATCCCACAGCAAGATGTTGTTTTTATACGCCTGTCGAAGACGGGGACGTATTATGTTATATCACATGAGCGGGCGGGCGGGTGGGCGGGCGAGCATGCGAACGATGTCCGCTCGATATCTCAAGTAATTATTAACAGATTAACTTCAAACTTCACAACAAGGTTAATTACCATGAAAGCTCGGACAAGTTCGATAACCGCCATTATCCACCCATAATTTGTGGAGTTATGCCCCTTTATGGACTTGCCGAAACAGTGTCCGCTCGATATCTCAAGTGATTGTTAACGGATTAACTTCAAACTTCATAACAAGGTTAATTACCATGAAACCTCGGACAAGTTCGATAACCGCCATTATCCGACCATAATTTGTGGAGGTATGCCCCATTATGGACTTGCCGAAACAGTGTCCGCTCGATATCCCGAGTAATTATTAACAGATTAACTTCAAACTTCACAACAAGGTTAATTACCATGAAACCTCGGACAAGTTCGATAACCGCCATTATCCGACCATAATTTGTGGAGTTATGCTCCATTATGGACTTGCCGAAACAGTGTCCGCTCGATATCCCGAGTAATTATTAACAGATTAACTTCAAACTTCACAACAAGGTTAATTACCATGAAACATCGGACAAGTTCGATAACCGCCATTATCCGACCATAATTTGTGGAGTTATGCCCCTTTATGGACTTGCCGAAACAGTGTCCGCTCGATATCCCGAGTAATTATTAACAGATTAACTTCAAACTTCACAACAAGGTTAATTACCATGAAACATCGGACAAGTTCGATAACCGCCATTATCCGACCGTAATTATTGGAGTTATTCCCCTTGGTTTCATTAATGCGATGCATGTGTTCCATGATGTTGAATTGCACTCATGGATCCACCAGTTATGTTGAATGATTTCTCTTTCAATATCAATTACTCACAAATACTTCATATACTTCAACCATACAAACAACTGCTCATTCAATGTGTGACGGGCGTATTATATACCGCTCGCGGTAACCTTGTTCTATATACAGAAACTTCCCCTTAAGGATCCCTGTCCCACAGCAAGATGTGTTTTTCTATATACAGAAACTTCCCCTTAAGGATCCCAATCTGACAGTAAGATGTTGTTTTTCTATATACAGAAACTTCCCCTTAAGGATCCCCATCCCACAACAAGATGTTGTTTTTCTATATACAGAAACCTCCCCTTAAGGATCCCCATCTCACAACAAGATGTTGTTTTTCTATACACAGTAACCTCCCCTTAAGGATCCCCATCCCACCGCAAGATGTTGTTTTTCTATACACAGTAACCTCCCCTTGAGGATCCCTATCCCACAGCAAGATGTTGTTTTTCTATACACAGTAACCTCCCCTTAAGGATCCCCATCCCACAGCAAGTTGTTGTTTTTCTATACACAGTAACCTCCCCTTAATTTCCGTTTGGCTATTATAACTGTAGCACTGTTGAACCACAGCACTTTTGTTGACTAAATAGTCAGTCTGTTAGAGCGATAGCATGTCAAATGTTTAAATCCCGGTCTACCCTGCTGTTTTTTTACACTCCGAACACTGTTGTTGATTGTTTTTTGCTTATTTCATCTTCATTAATTCTCATAAACGTCCCACAAAGTATGTTTCCTTTTTTTTCAGAAATGTTTATCAAAGCTCTAGTCAAGCCTTAAAAAACATTTGCAATGCGTAGTTATAGTTTTTGGCGGTACAGGTATCCTTAATGTTATGTGGTTTTACACTGAGTTAATGTTATGTGGTTAATACAGTCAAACCTGTTTATGCAACCACCCTTTTTAAGAGACCGCCTATTTTAAAAGATCAAGTTTTGCACTTCCAAAGGGTTGGTCTGTTTGTGTCTTTAATCATTTTCAAGATTCAAACGTACAAATTTTGACTTGACTGATGTAACTAAAATATTACATCCTAGTACACTCATCCTTGATGCTCCAAGGGTTACGCTCACTTTCGCTCTCTGCGACCCTGGAGTATTTCATAGCAAAATTGAAGGCTTGCAGCTAGCTATTTTATTTGACTCGGGTAAAACAAACCTGACCTATCGCTAGGCTGATACCTGTCCTTTGAAGATTACAAAGGAGAGACAACCGACTTCAAAGTCAGTCAATTTTTACCGTTACGTGACCACAATATTTTTTTGATGTACATCAAAGGATCAAACTAGTCTTCTTGTCTCATACACAAGGTGGTTCACACTAAGCCTTCGATTTTACTATGACATATTCCAGGGGTGCAGAGAGCGAAATAGAAGATAACCCCTGAAGTGTCCAGGATGTAGTATACTATGATTAGTTGTGTCATATGACCCAACAGCAGATTAGAGTATTCAGCTTAGTGCTGTGTATTGCAAGGTTTGTGAGAATACGATATGTATCACGTTACACGGGTTACAATACGATACGTATCGCAAGACTTGTAGCAAGTTTCTGTACAAACCAGATGTTACCATAGGCACATCACCCTACTGAGTAATTATGTGTTGGCCCCCAGGGCTTACTGAACGATATGGTGCGTTTGTAATTTGTGACCAGGACTTATGTTTGGTGTGCCGCAGATAAAGAAAGACTTCGTGACGTGGATGAGGATGTTCCTGATCATCATGGTGTCCGGCGGTGTAACAATCCATGCTGTACTCTACCCGAACTACCCATTCACGCTGCATGGGATCAAGAAGGCACTAACAAGGGCTTTCTTTACAATGTTTCTCACCCAAATTGATGACCTTGAAGGTAAAAAAAAAAAAATATATATTTATCAAAATTTTGGAAAATACAATGTAGTTACCAAACAGATTCTAAACAATATTGATAGATATACACCAGTATTTCCTGTTACCGTAAGACAGGTGGCCTTAGATGTGAGAGCTGTTTTAAGTGTATTTAGGCCTGAAATAACTTCAATTCAGACGTCTTATAATCATAGAGCATATTAAACACTTTTGTTTTAATAAGAACTGGCCATGTGACCGTTGACCACACACAGGACTGTTTATCATCATTGTACAGATACATAGATTTTGTTTTAATTTGTTTACCGTCGGTCCGTAACTTATGTTGATTTGGACTACCTGTTTGTATTACCTAGGAAACGACTCGTGTTCAGACCAGTACAAAAACACCTCCCTGACTCACTGTAGAGGTAAGTGAGAATCGTTTTTGTTTCCCATTGGTTAATGTTCTGCAAATAAATTTTGTAAGGAAGATGGTGTTATAGTATTTTTTTTTGAAAAAAAAGATTTTTAACTTTAACCTTGATAGTGGGTCAATGTCATTTGTCACTCACACAAGCAATTATTGCTATGCATACCAAATCTCATGACTCTAGGACTCCTGGTTATGAAGGCAAAGTTTTTTCAAATAAGTAGTAGACTAGAAGATGGGACACTACACAGTCTTACTACCTCTTTGTTTCGGATGAGGTTAAGATAATGTTTACATAATTAATACATAACAACAGCAGTAACCAGAAGAATGATTAAATCAAGAACAAAAGTGGTGCTCAACTTTTGCATTGCTTTGAATGTTGGAAATACTGTTCTTTTGATACAAACATGAAACCTAGAGGGTATTCAGTTGTTGTCACATTACTTATTATTAATACAAATTGTACATTGTTTAATACCAGATGGGCAGTTAAAATGAATTTGTTTGTTGATTTTACACATTTTTCACTTGTGTTTAATTCTTTTATATATATTATTTTTTAGCCATTTCTCCTGATATTTTCTCTAAAAACGCAAGTAAGTACAGATAATGAACCTGTCCAGTAAACTTGAAGTGCTTAACAACCATCTTCACAATCAAAGGGTTACACTTTTGATATAAATTTTCTACACTTCACCCCTAGGTCGTTGAGAAGCACAATTCCTAAATAGAATATGGGGAATATTTTAAAGACCACAAGATGGTTAATTCCCAAGGTCTTTCACCGTGTCACAGCTCTTCAGGAAAAGAATTTAATTTTGAAGCTACAGTCAATCAGCATAACAATGTAGCTGACATAAGTTATGATGTAATACTGTATAAGGGAACATTTTTGCCGCAGTATAATTTTCGCCTTTTTCGCCCACTGTCATGAAGGCGAAATATCGCGACAGTGAAGATGAGTTAACAACATACTATACATAGTAATTACATGTGAAGAGCAGAAATATTACTGTAGAAAACGTATTCTACGAGTGGCGGGCAAACATTTCGCAGTATACAGTACTTTACACTGTAATAAGATGTCATCAACAACGTATTGTATTAGGAATCTTCATGAGTATCCACTCCTGTCCTATCATCTGCTTTGCTAGTGATACAATCTGGTTGTAGCGTTCTTTTGTGTATGACATTATGTATTGTCAGGCCTATATATTTGTTTGGTTCAATATTTTAAGGATTTACGCTAAAATTATAATTCGCAGGATTACTTTTTTTGTGGATTTATGTATGTAAAAATACATGGAAGAATAATCAGTGGTGACAAATATTTCACTGACTATCTTGTGGATTTCCTAGGCTGCGAAAATAGGGAATAAAGGAAATAGAACCTAATTATAGAATGATACCTCTACAGGTAGTACAACACGGGATGATGTGACATCACTGGACACCTGTCCGTATAGCAGCATGGGTGGTTACCTGGTCGTCATGCAGTACCTCGTCATCACTAAGCTGGTCATGATTACGCTTCTGTACGCTCTGTTCAGGTAAGTGTACTCCCTACAGGTGTACAGGTGTACAGGGGTAAGATCTGTTCAGGTAAGTGTACTCCCTACAGGTGTACAGGTATACAGGGATAAGTTCTGTTCAGGTAAGTGTACTCCCTACAGGTGCACAGGTGTACAGGTGTAAGCTCTGTTCAGGTAAGTGTTCTCCCTACAGGTGTACAGGTGTACAGGGGTAAGTTCTGTTCAGGTAAGTATACACCCTACAGGTGTACAGGTATACAGGTATAAGTTCTGTTCAGGAAAGTGTACTCCCTACAGGTGTACAGGTATACAGGTATACGTTCTGTTCAGGTAAGTGTACTCCCTACAGGTGTACAGGTGTACAGATGTAAGTTCTGTTCAGGTAAGTGTACTCCCTACAGGTGTACAGGTGTACAGGTGTAAGTTCTGTTCAGGTAAGTATACTCCCTACAGGTGTACAGGTATACAGGTATAAGTTCTGTTCAGGTAAGTGTACTCCCTAAAGGTGTACAGGTGTAAGTTCTGTTCAGGTAAATGGTCTCCCTATAGGTGTACAGGTGTAAGTTCTGTTTAGGTAAGTGTACTCCCTAAAGGTGTACAGGTGTAAGTTCTGTTTAGGTAAGTGTACTCCCTACAGGTGTACAGTGTACAGGTGTAAGTTCTGTTTAGGTAAGTGTACTCCCTACAGGTCTACAGGTGTAAATTCTGTTTAGGTAAGTGCACTCCCTACAGGGGTATAGGTGTAAATTCTGTTTAGGTAAGTGTACTCCCTACAGGTGTACAGGTGTAAATTCTGTTTAGGTAAGTGTACTCCCTACAAGTGTACAGGTGTAAATTCTGTTTAGGTAAGTGTACTCCCTACAGGTGTACAGGTGTAAATTCTGTTTAGGTAAGTGTACTCCCTACAAGTGTACAGGTGTAAATTCTGTTTAGGTAAGTGTACTCCCTACAAGTGTACAGGTGTAAATTCTGTTTAGGTAAGTGTACTCCCTACAAGTGTACAGGTGTAAATTCTGTTTAGGTAAGTGTACTCCCTACAAGTGTACAGGTGTAAATTCTGTTTAGGTAAGTGTACTCCCTACAAGTGTACAGGTGTAAATTCTGTTTAGGTAAGTGTACTCCCTACAAGTGTACAGGTGTAAATTCTGTTTAGGTAAGTGTACTCCCTACAAGTGTACAGGTGTAAATTCTGTTTAGGTAAGTGTACTCCCTACAAGTGTACAGGTGTAAATTCTGTTTAGGTAAGTGTACTCCCTACAAGTGTACAGGTGTAAATTCTGTTTAGGTAAGTGTACTCCCTACAAGTGTACAGGTGTAAATTCTGTTTAGGTAAGTGTACTCCCTACAAGTGTACAGGTGTAAATTCTGTTTAGGTAAGTGTACTCCCTACAAGTGTACAGGTGTAAATTCTGTTTAGGTAAGTGTACTCCCTACAAGTGTACAGGTGTAAATTCTGTTTAGGTAAGTGTACTCCCTACAAGTGTACAGGTGTAAATTCTGTTTAGGTAAGTGTACTCCCTACAAGTGTACAGGTGTAAATTCTGTTTAGGTAAGTGTACTCCCTACAAGTGTACAGGTGTAAATTCTGTTTAGGTAAGTGTACTCCCTACAAGTGTACAGGTGTAAATTCTGTTTAGGTAAGTGTACTCCCTACAAGTGTACAGGTGTAAATTCTGTTTAGGTAAGTGTACTCCCTACAAGTGTACAGGTGTAAATTCTGTTTAGGTAAGTGTACTCCCTACAAGTGTACAGGTGTAAATTCTGTTTAGGTAAGTGTACTCCCTACAAGTGTACAGGTGTAAATTCTGTTTAGGTAAGTGTACTCCCTACAAGTGTACAGGTGTAAATTCTGTTTAGGTAAGTGTACTCCCTACAAGTGTACAGGTGTAAATTCTGTTTAGGTAAGTGTACTCCCTACAAGTGTACAGGTGTAAATTCTGTTTAGGTAAGTGTACTCCCTACAAGTGTACAGGTGTAAATTCTGTTTAGGTAAGTGTACTCCCTACAAGTGTACAGGTGTAAATTCTGTTTAGGTAAGTGTACTCCCTACAAGTGTACAGGTGTAAATTCTGTTTAGGTAAGTGTACTCCCTACAAGTGTACAGGTGTAAATTCTGTTTAGGTAAGTGTACTCCCTACAAGTGTACAGGTGTAAATTCTGTTTAGGTAAGTGTACTCCCTACAAGTGTACAGGTGTAAATTCTGTTTAGGTAAGTGTACTCCCTACAAGTGTACAGGTGTAAATTCTGTTTAGGTAAGTGTACTCCCTACAAGTGTACAGGTGTAAATTCTGTTTAGGTAAGTGTACTCCCTACAAGTGTACAGGTGTAAATTCTGTTTAGGTAAGTGTACTCCCTACAAGTGTACAGGTGTAAATTCTGTTTAGGTAAGTGTACTCCCTACAAGTGTACAGGTGTAAATTCTGTTTAGGTAAGTGTACTCCCTACAGGTCTACAGGTGTAAATTCTGTTTAGGTAAGTGCACTATCTACAGGTGTATAGGTATACGTTCTGTTTAGGTAAATGTACTCCCTACAGGTCTACAGGTGTAAATTCTGTTTAGGTAAGTGTACTCCCTACAGGTGTACAGGTGTAAATTCTGTTTAGGTTAGTGTACTCCCTACAGGTGTACAGGTGTAAATTCTGTTCAGGTCCTATCCTACTATATAGGTATACGTTCTGTTTAGGTAAGTGTACTCCCTACAAGTGTACAGGCGTAAATTCTGTTTAGGTAAGTGTACTCCCTACAGGTGTACAGGTGTAAATTCTGTTCAGGTCCTATCCTACTATATATACAGGCGTATGTTCTATCAATGGTGGTGTATACTGTATACATGTAGATATATGATATAGATGAAGACAGTTATAATGGTGTATTTCCATGTAGACTCTCGATCTGAAGATATCCTTTAATCTGTCATTAGAATTAGAAAATGTGATATATATTAGAAAGTGTAGTAACTGTTATTGTCAATAACTTGCATTATACATGATGTTCATTTTATGTAAACTTTGAAAGAAAGTATATTCTAAGTTAAATATCTTGAAAACATTTATTCAGATGTTTGAAGAAATGATACATGTCTGCAATTGAATTAATTTTATCAATAGTTGATTCAGGTCATAAATTGAAAGAAAAGTTTTCCTGAAAAAAATTTGTTCAAATCAAAATCATGAAAATATGATTCCATAAGAATCAAGTCATTTACAGTATGTGTTTTAATGTTAATCCTTTTTATCTATTTGCAGTGCGACCACAGCAAAAGTGAGGGGCGAGTCCGAGGAGATTTGGAAGTTTCAGAAATACAGCCTGATTGTGGACTTTGAGGAGCGGCTTCGCCTTCCCCCTCCCCTCAGTTTCATTAGCTACCTATGTATGATGGCTGTAGGCTTTTACCACTGTTTTCATCGCTGCTGCTCACTCTGTTGTCGTAGGCCGCACGGCTGTTGTCGATGTACTTGTAAAAAGAAGAAAGGACGCACAGAAAAGGTACAGAAACATTTGGTGGTAAAAATTGGTTCAAAAATACTGTAAACATAATAAACAGAAGTGGATGATATATGATTATCTTAACAAAATCTATAGTACAAGGTGCCTCAGGAATAAGCTTTGCTTTATTGCCCTAAAAAATACACAGAAACATACATACATCTTTATTAAACAATAAGCATATATACATGCCATTGTGCAGCATAACCAACATACATGATTGAATGGTAACAGTTACAATGGACATTGTGACGTAGCCAATTTATCATTTACATTATCATTTACATATATCTAAATAAAATAGGTATCCACATGTACAGCGTCAGGTACAGGGACGTATGTAATCTAAGTTTAGGTCACAATTACATATATCTAAATAATATAGGTACCCACATGTACAGCATCAGGTACAGGGACGTATGTAATCTAAGTTTAGGTCACAATAACATTGGTGTCCAGATCCACCTGCACTGCATTATAATGAAGAGAGAAAGATACCTAGGAAAAACAAATTTCAAAAGAGAATGGGCCAATTGGCAAAACCTTTTTGATAACTCTCAATCCTGGGACCAATTTGCCATAAGTGACTTATTTATTTATACATATACTTGTTTTATTAACCCTTTCGCCCCTGTGTAACTTCAGTAGACTCTACTGTGCATTGGTTAGGAGGAGTCCATTATGGTCTGCAGGGGTGAAAGGGTTAAGTAACTGTAAAATATTGATATAGCCCCCACTGACAACTCACAGAGAAACTAAAATACAAATTTTAAACAATCCTATGTTTCCTTTCTGATATTTGTATTGATATTTGTATGATAATGTATGAATACATGTGTCCATATGTTTGTTTTATGTCATATGCATGTTTACTGTATTGTATATTAATTTGAGTATTTGTTAAATTAAAAAAAAGAGAGCAAAATTATGACATAATATGTAATTTTTCTACTTACAGGATATCCTAAAGGGTAAATAGTCCTGGGCCCAGAATAGTCAAACTTGACTTTCAGAATGGTCCCACCTCTCAAAATAACATATATTATATAGTTTGTATTTCCTGAATACTAATTAAAATATTAGATATTAATTAATAAATTTATGTTAAAAAAAATCATCCCTTGCCTTGAAACAGTGGTGTTCATTACAAATTCTCTATTAAATTTTCCAAGTAAGGCTATTCATGTTCAAATTGTTTAAGAATTTAGAAGTTTCATGATACGGGGCCCTGATGATGTGTTTTAGGACTGTTCTAAGTTGAGGGTGCTGAAGGTGAGGAGGACGGAGGATTATAACTACTGGAGGAGTAGTATAAAGGACCTGATGGATATGGAGGAACAGGAGAAAGCTGACCGGGAACGACCGAAAACCCAGAGCAAAAAGTAGGTGTGGTTGATGATGATCAAAGACAGTGAACAAAATACATATGTACACGTGGCAGTCATTTAAAGCTTAACTTGATGATGGTAAATGTACATGTAAACATTTTTTTCACCATAAGAAATATGCTGTTTTTCTATTTTGGACTTTTAGTCAATATCTAGACATCAGTACTACTGTATACTTGAGCCAGTCATCTTGTATGACATTTTTTAACTGCTTTGTTTACCCACATCTAGATTATTGCTCAACTGTTCGGGATAACAGTTCAAAAAATAATATTAAAAAATTAGAATGCCTGCAAAAGAGAGCAGCCAGAATTATTTTAAAATGTGATTTTTCCACACCTTCCTGTGATATGTTCAAAACACTAAATTGGTTACCTTTTCACAAAAGAATTTTATACAATCAAGTAGTTTTTATGTACAAGATATACACAAAATTTGAATGAGTTTACGTATATGTCTGATGTTCAGGATAGAACTACAAGATCATCATCTACTAATGTGTTTTACCTGCCATGTCATAAGACAAACATTTTTAGAAAATCTTTTAGATATCAGGGACCCCTTACATGGAATCTTTTACCAAGTCATATTAGAAATTGTACTTCATTTTTAGAATTCAAGAGATCTGCAAAGCAATTTTACTTGAAATGATTTAGGATTTCCTCCCTTATCCTGTATTTTATACATGTATATTTCTTAAAGCTGTAAATATTGTACATTTTATCATACATTGTATCTTGACCATATGTAAGATGTAAGATGAGCTTCATGCTCAATATGTTATCAAGAATAAATAAACCCTTTAGTATTTATTATTATTATATACCACAAAATTTTTCGCTGCCGTTTTTTCGCCCTCTGAATTTATCATTACAGCAAACATTAGTAAACAACATAATATAAATATTAGTAATTAAATGTGAAGGGCCAAATTAACAATGGGCGATTTTGGATTTTACCAGCGAACATCGAAAGTTTGACTGGGCGATAATTCCCGGTTAACAGTATTAGCATATGTTGATATATTGTTAGAAGCTATATTTCGGGGAAAAACTTTCTTTTGGATTTTGTTGTGTGTATATGAATAAAAGGTTTAGCATCCTGGGGACAGGAAAGTTTGAGCCCAGGAGGTGAAATAGGAACCGAGAGATTTTCAGCTTTTTCTCTGGTAAAACTAGGCCAATTTTAAATTACTTAAAATAAAAAGATTCTCTCATGGTCCAGATGAAGTGTTGTTATTTTTCATGTTAGTTCATGATAACAAATTGTTGACCTTGCCTCTGATTGGCTAGGAAGGACAATTACTACTTCCGCGCAAGTTCTACCCTACAAATTCTAACCAAAGGTTGTGTGAATAAACGTCTTACAGTATTTGGGTGGTCGGGTGGTGCAATGGATATCACGATGGCTTGTGTTCGTCTCCCCGATCGGACGTGAAATGGCATTGGGTCACTTGCCAGACCACGCAGGCACTCTGGTTTTCTCTCACATTAAAACCCCCTGCACCCTTTCATCTGGGCCAACAAGAGTTATTAGGATGAGTTGAAAAAAAATTGTTTAATAATTGTTGTGAAATAAATCTCATCTTTTAGTATTGAATAATTGTTAGATTTCTTGCCGTTTCAAAATTCAAGATGGCCGCCCTTTCCACTGAATGACAGAAACAATGTCTATTAAAAGATTTTAACAAAAAATAATACAATACTATTTGACAGCTCTAGATCTTGTGTCATGTGTCCTGTTTGATTATCATGTCCACAGCATTGGCGTAGTGATGGTACAGATGGAGAAGCAGAAACACTTTAATGGGAAGTTGACGGAGCAGATGGCCCGTCTGGAGCGGAGTGTAACCACCTGTAATCTAGCCCTGGAACAGATCAAACATCTTTTAGACAAACAACAAGGTACTGTACACCAGTACTGCAGTTATATTTTTGTCTTTTTCGCCCTCTGCAATGAAGGCAAACTTATCATTGCAGCAAATATAAGTAAACAGCATAATACACATGATAGATATTAAATGTGTGAGGGGCAGTATGTGTGTACATTGATTTGTCCACTTGTCAGATAACATTAAATATTAGATAACACACATTTTTTCCTCAACCTTCAACCTCATAGGTTGGATAAACATTGCTTGGACGTCTGTGATTTGTGATATTAACTTGGTTTTACTATTTTTAGAAACAGGAGGTCAATATTCACTTTATGACATCATTTCAATGGTAACATCATAATGCTTTCTACCAAATGCAGTACTTTCTTCCATAAAAGTTTCATACGTTCCATGTTGTTTAGTGATTAAAACGTTGTTTAGAATCCTATATAACAATGAAGACTTTTTATTTTGGCAAATATGGGGTATTAATATTTTTTCATATTATTCCCAACGAGTGATTCGCCAGGAGTGCATCACGTGTCCACCGATAAAAACCGATATTGACTTGGAGCCCGTGATTTTTGTTGAAGGACTGGATGTTTGTAAAATTAAATTATGACGTGTCTCCAAACAATGCACCGTCCCACTTCTGAAGCTTTTTTGTCGTGGTTTTTTTTACAGATCGCTTACATTACTGTCTTGTAAAATGATAAAACTGCATCCTCGGTCAATATATCTTTTCTCAGGTCGATAAATCCAGGTGTCGACCTCAGCCAAAGGCTATAATTGAATAATATAGGGACCAGAGACAGAGATATTGACCGAGGTGTAGTCTATATAACCACCTGTTCACCCCAACATTAGTCCATAGTTATAGTAGAGATTGGGGACTAATGAATGTTATAGGATTACACACTGTCCATTAGTATTTCCTTCAATCGATGCCTCACTTGTTGATTTCGATATTATTGGTGCATCGGCCACGAAATTTTATCTGTACCTGATATTAACCATATATTTCGGTACAAAATTGTGTGTAAACCTTTTAACACGATTAGGAAATCACAGTAATATACAGATTTAACACAGTTTTTATAATCTTTTTTTGTTCGTTACAGGGCAGAAAAATTTGAATGTCGCAATGAAGAGGTCTTTGGTTCACGTGTCAAGTCGCCAATCTCCGTACCCAGGCACAATAACACAACGCTTTCCAGTCTTCGACAAACATGTGTCATGGGAGGTAAGTCAAGAGCTAACAACCAATGTCGTCAGATCAGACCCGCTTTCGTTGATCGCGATCCAAACGGTTAAACAAGTTGGACCAGCGTTGTTTGTGTATGAAATAAGGCCGGACCCAGTAATCTGACGCTACTTCCAGGCGAGCCTTTAGAGGAGAGCCTTACAAGGCCTGTATAAACATTTGCAGGTCCACTAGTATTAATACCCAAAATGTTATATTTAACAACAGACAAACCAGTTGTTCCGCATAAACGTTCAGGCCCCATTGACTTTGAAATAATATGTTATTTCCTTTGAATTTACATAAAGGGAATTATAGGTTGTTGGCCTTTTTTAGGAGTTAGAATATTTGGAATTTTTTCCCAGTGATGTTGCTGAAAAATGTTGAGAAATAAAATATTGTGAATGGTAAACACAAGGATAAGTTCCCTGCTTATCTCTTTAGCAGAAATGTTTTTTATGAAAAAGGAAACGAGACTACTTTAAAGACATCCTGAAAAATCTAACAATAATTATTCAGTCCTTTTGAGAGAAGAGTCATGGTTATGTTTTAATGACAGATATCAATAGCTGCATACAGCGTCGGTTCTCACAATGAACGCTGTTGTTCCAGTTAAATGTTATATCTGTTCTCTGCTATGGACAAAAAACCTAACTACAAATAACTACACATACAAAATAACCCACACTTGCTCACACAATGAAATAGCGGATACTGACGGTAAAGTATGAAGAATGATTATCATGTTTAAAATTAGATCATTTCATACTTACTTACACACTTAAATACTTACCGAGAACCTTCAGATCAGAGTAAGGAAAGAAGAACTGGATCTCTCTACATTTCTGTGTGTTACAATCAAGAGGTTGAGTCAGAGTGAAGTAGGGAGACAACAGTGACTAGAACATAGACGTGTGTAGTCCGTGCTGAACATGCTATAGATTCCTTCCCACTGGCATTGTGCGCAATGATTTGAATGATGTAATTGAACACCTGGCTGTAATCAAAGATATCAATTATGGTATACTGAAATCAGTGTCATATGTATTTTCAATCAACACCTGCGATAACACTGTTGTGGTTTTGTAGGTGCCGTATCTAGGATACGACCCTGTGGTATACACCGGTCCTCTAGAGGAATTTGTGGAGGCCATTCAACCCCTTGTGGACCCTGACTTCTTACAGTAAGTTAATCCGTCGTTTTGGTGAGTTTGTGGAGCCTGTGAACCAACGAAAGGTAGCCTCTGAAAAGTTTGTGTGAGGGGCCGCAGTGGCTAAGTGGTTAAGGCGTCTGACATTCTGCTACCACTAGCCCTCCACCACTGGGTCACAGGCTTGTGGGGCAGTCGTCAGGTACTGACCGTAGGTCAATGGCTTTTCTACGGAGTTCTAAAAACCATTGACCTACGGTCGGTACCTGGCTTTCTCCATCATCAAGACCTGGCACGTCCTCAAATGACCGTAGCTGTTGATGGGATGTAAAACACAACCAAACAAAACAAACCAAACTGAAAATTTGGTTTTGCAAGAATGTGTATATTATGAAGGTGTCATTAAAAATTTACATTTTAACTAAAGGTATCATGACAATTTTCCATTCATACACATAAGCTCTATATGTATAGCCTGCTCTCAGCCTCTTTTAAGTCCATCTGTGATTGGACTTTTTTCAGGTCTATACCTGATCTCCGGCTAAAGTCACTTGTAAAAGCATTCAAAATTATTGTTGAATTACTTTCTGAAAATATAAATCAATAAAAAGAATTATTTCTCATTGCAATTTATAATAAAAAAAAAATGATTGTTTTGACGCTTTCGACAGAATGATCCTTAATAATAATAATAATATACAACATTTGATATAGCGCCCTATATCTAGCTAACATAAGCCACTCTAAAGTGCTTTATAGTACATAGATTATACAATTAGCATATATACATTAATCAATACAATTTTGAGGAATTCGCAGGAGCTACATTATCAGGCGCCAACTACTAGTCCTATGCCACCTAGCTAGTGTCTCCCTTTGTGTGTATGCCAGTGTGTGTGCTGGAGATGTAATGGGTTCTGTTTGTAGTGGGACCGTGCTTCAAACGGCATCATTTATAGTGACACCTCACTTGAATGCTACAGCACAGATACCGCAACATCCACCCCAGACCATTTTATACTCCACCTGGGTTGTTGGAGTTGTGTGGGCAGGAGAAAAACACTTTCTCTGAAAATCCATGCCTATGACGACTTAGGGGATCGAACCCTGTAGTGTTAATCACTTGACCAATCCGCCCAATCCTTGTGTATATGAGAGGTGTTAGTTTGCACTTGACTTCCTGGAGTTTGCACTTTCTAGAGTCATTTAGTAGGCAACCTAAAATATACACATTATTTTGGGGATATTATGTGTACAGTTATTAAGACCTTATTATACTGACACCATTTTTCATGAGACAATTTGGCGTTATAAAGGGGTTTGGCGATAAATTGAGGGAAACAAAAGAATTCTTAAGAAAAAGGGACATCAACTTGTAAAGGCGATAAACGAGGTGGCAAAATAAACCAGGGACATTATACCAATGTTTAACTGTATGAAATATGATGGCAGAAAAGAGGGTGGCAAATGAAACAAGGGGCGTTATATCGAAGTTTTACTGTATGTAGTGTTACACTACCCCTGTTTGTGTATACAGGATCAGCCGGACAGTAGAGGAGAAATTACTGAGTCGTGAGGACATCCGCACCCAGCACCAGCCCAGTGCCCTGTACTGTCCAATGTGGAATGTGTCCGCTACACTGAAGATCAACAATGCCTTAGTGGAAATAAACAGGGCCTCCTGGATAACTCAGAATAGCACGGCGTGTCGCTACAGCATCGACAAGACCAACCTACCTCTGTATGTGATCAAATTATAAATACTTTTTCCGACTTTAAATTTCATTTAATGTTGATGAAACCAATCTAGAAATGCTTAGCTAAAAAGGAAACTTTGGGATAAGATTTATTGTCATTCTAGCTTTGCCAAACTCAGAAGAAAAAATGGGACAAGTTCATCAATCTTATTTAAAAATTTGCAACAATTTCCAAATCCTTTTTATCACTAAACAAAGAAATTGTCTGAATGAAATGAACATTGAAATGTATTTTTTTTTACTATATTCAAATTTTTAACATTGCCATCTTGAAAACTGTGATATGTATATATACAAATGTATGTGACATCACAATCTAAAGGGCAAACTGTATACCAGATTTTATCATCACAATGATGTTAGATACTTAACGTACTATATTGAGTAATTGCATATGAAGTGTGAAATTAATATTAGGTGAAATATAGATTTTATTTAGAATACTGTAACCACAGTTACCGATACACGACCCAAAAAATAAAAGAAAAAGGATTTTTTTAAATAGTTTTTCAATAGTACATTAAACATAACACATTATTTTTCAGTCACACATTCTTAATTTCCACACATCTTTTTTGTTTGTCTTGACATTTTTTTATTTTTTTTACACGACAAAAATATGAAAAAGACTATTTACTGTGTAGCTCAAGAGTTTTTGTACGAATAATTATTTGATATCATTATATCATTTAATTTTGGCTATTGAGTATTCCCCAAATGGTCGACTTTTCCAGGTTATATTATATATCCTTATAAAACAGACTGCGCAAAATGTGATGACGTTGTGAAGCGTAATGTTTGGCGCAGTATTTGTAAATCTAACTTGATTAGTTGGAGTTGCTTGGCGATGAAATAACCGCTCAATGTTGTGTTTAGGGCAAAATTATTTTGTTTTTATCAGAATTAGATAAACATATTTACTAACTGTGAATCAAGAAGTGTTGTCTTAATTTTACAATTAAATCATAAGGGAAAACCAAAATTATTGTCGGGGTTATACTGTACAAAAAAATATACAAAAAAACAAATATATGTGCACTTTAGTGCATAAAATGCTTCGCATAGTTTTTTTCGGTATATACTCTATAACAAAATAATCCTGGTTATTCCTTAACTCATTCCCCCCTAAACACACATTTGAACCCTTCCAATCCAAAGGTTGGAATAGCTCATTATGAAATTTCAGGGGTGAATGATCATGAGTTAAATTATGAAAAAAAATGCTTCCAGGACTTTCTCACATTTTAAGCACTCTAATGGTAATGAGCAAGTGTTTTACCTTGTGTTTGTTCACACCAGAAACCTGGCTCATTTTTCCTCTTGGTACACTGACCAAGTGTTATAAACCACACAAGCCTCTGATTGATTAAGACATTTTAACTTCTCTCATGCCATCAGGCTGATTTCTGTATCGTGCAAACTTTGTAGAAACCCCATGGGCAGGACTGGTATCAGGGGACGGGGCAAGCTGTGGCGCTGGGGACCTAATCACAGCGTGCTGGTGGTGCTCTCACGTTGGAAGGAGAAGTACAAACTTAACGGTACAGTAGCACCTGAACGTGACTACATCATCATAGAGGGCAAACGTGTGCTAGAGATGATTGTCATACAGAGGCTTGACACAGGTGAATTCACGCTTCCAGGGGTAAGTAATCATGGTCGTACATAAGCTTGACAACTTCAGTTCAATCTTCCAAGAATATGTTCACATTATCGAACAGAGACTTGACACTGGTGAATTCACGCTTCCAGGGGTAATTAATCATGTTCATACAGAAGCTTGACACCGAGAGTTTGATCTAGGCTTGACACTGGTGAATTCACACTGCCAGAGGTAGTTAATCATGTTCAAATCTTGTTCATACAGAGACTGTCACCGGGGAGTTGATATTTCCAAGAGAAGGTTCACACAAACATAGAAGCTTCACTAAGGAGCTTTGACACTTTCAGGGGTGGGTCACATGATCATGGAAATGTTTGATACTGGGGAGTTCATTGTTTCCATGTGTAGGTTATAACATCCACACAGGGGCTTGACACCATTAGTTGACCCTTTAAGGGATAAGTTATCATGTTTATACAGAGGTCATGAATGCAGCCACTGGGTAGATCAAACTTCCAGAGGAAGGTTCACATGATCATACTTACACTGGGTAGATCACACTTCCAGAGGTAGGTTCACATAATAATACAGACACTGGGTAGATCACACTTCCAGAGGAAGGTTCACATGATCATACTTACACTGGGTAGATCACACTTCCAGAGGTAGGTTCACATGATCATACTTACACTGGGTAGATCACACTTCCAGAGGTAGGTTCACATAATAATACAGACACTGGGTAGATCACACTTCCAGAGGTAGGTTCACATGATCATACAGACACTGGGTAGATCACACTTCCAGAGATAGGCTCACATGATAATACAGACACTGGGTAGATCACACTTTCAGAGGTAGGCTCACATGATCATACAGACACTCGGTAGATCAAACTTCCAGAGATAGGCTCACATGATAATACAGACACTGGGTAGATCACACTTCCAGAGGTAGGCTCACATGATCATACCAACACTGGGTAGATCACACTTCCAGAGATAGGCTCACATGATCATACAGACACTGGGTAGATCACACCTCTAGAGATAGGCTCACATGATCATACCAAAACTGGGTAGATCACACTTCCAGAGATAGGCTCACATGATCATACAGACACTGGGAAGATCACACTTCCAGAGGTAGGCTCACATGATCATACCAAAACTGGATAGATCACACTTCCAGAGATAGGCTCACATAATCATACAGACACTGGGTAGACGATGCTTTCAGGGGTAAATCTATGTTAACACACAGAGGCTTGACACCATAGTGCTTCAGTATACTGTGAAATCACTAATTTTTGTGGGGTTAATAAATTTGTTGATTTTTTGGGTACTCTTCATTCATGAAACCATAGGTCCACAAAGTAATTACAAGTTTAATGTAAATAAATTCTCTATTGAAGCAGGTACTCGTTATCCATAAATTCATGTACCTAGGGCTCCAGGAAATACCTGATTTCACAATATGTGTTTGCGTATTTTAACGTTATTTAATATCATAAACATGTGAAACCTTTACTTTGATTCTATTTCCAACAATTTTGCCCTTTAATAAGATGATGACTTTAGGATGAAGGCAAAAAAATATTGTATTTATAGTTAGTTTTAAAACAACTGTAAGGTTTGCTTCAAGTGACCACAGAGCAGACATTTGGTGGGTAAAAGAAAATGAGGTTCACAGCAAGAGAAAACGTTTACATGCAATTTTATTTTGCTTTCAGTGTAACAGATGTAGTTTTTACACCAATATACTACAAACATTATAAAGTGACTAAGATTGTGTTGTGTTACAGGGGAACGACTACGGTAATATGTCCATGTACAGCGCACTGTGTAAAAGGTTTCAGCAATTTGTTCTAGACCAGGAAACAACAGCTAAAGAAAACATGACGGAGCAAGACATGATCAATGTGAGTAAAACATTTTTCTCGGACAATAAAATCGGTACATGAAATTTCACAACAATTTTCGGACAATAGTAACTGCAGTACATCAAATTTCACATCAGATCTCGGACAATAATAACCGCAATACATGAAATTTCACAACAGTTCTCGGACAATATAAATAACCACAATACTATACATGAAATTTCACAACAGTTCTCGGACAATAATAACCGCAGTACATGAAATTTCACAACAGTTCTCGGACAATAATAACCGCAGTACATGAAATTTCACAACAGTTCTCGGACAATAATAACCGCAGTACATGAAATTT